AAGATGAAGACAAGAATATAAGACAAGAGGAACAATATAAGATAATTTTCTTTCTCTCAAGTGTTCACCAAATCTTCAAGTGTCTCTACAATATGAACTCTTATGCCTCTATTTATAGTGTAACATAGAGGCATTCAAAAGGTTAGTCATAAACATGACATTAACATGAATATAATGCGGAGGTTATGGAAGTGAAAGGTTACAAGAATAATGATTATAAAGATGGAGGTTATGGAGGTTATGATTATCTTCATAATGGAGGAAAGTATGGAGTAACTTCTTGATGTAGTGGACATCCACAATATATTATTTTATAACAACTTACACTTTTTTTTTAAAAAAAAATACATCTTTCCATTTTAGGGACAAACAAATTGATACGACATTTAATACTTTTTTCAGGACAAGTGAATAATTACTTACAAATTTGGGGACCACGTAGGAACACTAAATGACATACGTGGACCAGATTGATTGGTCTACTGAATAACTCTATTTTCCCGGTTTTGATTAAAGTTTAATTTGGATTGTGATTAGCACTAAAACACATCCATTGTTAGTGTTTGAATGATGATCAAACACTACCTTTGCTATTTTAAAAAAGCAGAGACTTGTTCTTCACTACCTAATTCCTCCTATTTTCTCTCTTCTACAAATGTTGCATTATGTTTAACCAACTCCATATATTTCGTCTCTCTTTTTTGGGATCTGAGTTACTTTTACTTTTCCTAATCCACTAAAGCTAATCACTATTTGTGTTTTTTTCTCTCTCTCTGTATTTTGGATTTCAAGAAAGAGTTTGAATACTACTCACTACAATCATTTGTGTGCTTGCTTATACATTCTTTTCGTTTGGTGGGTTGCAAGGCATTAGGATATAGACCCATATTGTGAAGTGGGTTTTTGTTCAGACTTGCTCAAATGATTGAGTTTGAGTTTCAGATTATTAGAAAGTTTTGATCTTTTTGACACAGGTATGGAAAATGTATGTTTTTTTTGGGTGTTTGATATGTGGTTTTCAGTGAAAATCTGAAAAATTGGGATTTTCAGATTTGTAGTTTTGTTGTCTTTTTCTTGATTTTGTTTTGAAATTGAAATCTGGTTTGGGTTGTTTGCTTGCTTGTTTGTTTTGTGTACTGACAGTTGGGTTTTGGAACTTTTGTTGTGTGTTTTAGGGGCACTTTTATGGCTTATCCATCAGACCATAGGTCCTCTAGTCGTGGGACTGTGAGATTTGTTTTGGTTCTGGTGGGTTTGTTTTTGGTTATTTACATGGTGACAACACCAACATTGCGGCACTCTAAGGCTTTGTCTTCATGTCCTCCATGTTTCTGTGATTGTGAGGAGGATCCCATGTTCTCGCCTATAGGTCAGTTTATCTCTCTTTGGATGCTAAATCTTGCTCATCTACCTTTGAAATTGTGTAGGTTGTGTACTTATGTTGGCTGATTTGATCCTAATGACTAAAAGTAATGCCTTTTACATATTGAGACACTTAGTTCATTTAAAGTTGAGTTTCTGCTTTTAGTAAGAAGTGATATTGTTTAAGAATTTGATTAAGAAAACTTGTATAGCCTTCATGGGGTTGCTTGTCATCCAAATTGGTGAACTATGGTCCATTTTTGTAATAAGTATTAACCAATTGAAGAAACTGGCAGGATTCTCAATTAATAGTACCTTGTTTTTACCACTTATAGAAGGTGGAGAATGAACTATAACTGAATATTAGAAGGAATTCATGTGAGTTGAAAACTTTTTGGTTCTTCCACAGGAGGAAGAACTGGAAATAGACACAAAACCATTCATCCTAGCTCTATTTTTGTTCAAATGAAATGCTTAGCCAATTCCATGCATCAACCAAAAGGTCATTTCTAAGTCTATATATTCTTATTGAGTATGGCTAGAGAATATTCATGACAGAAGTAACAGGAATGAGTGAACTGTCTTGTATATTTAAAGACTATACAAAAATCAAATGCTTCGTATTATTATACTTCCATATACATAGCGAGGATTTCATACAGTTAATCTTAAGTTAGGTCTTTCTAGAATCCACAAGAACTAAGTGAATTTGCTGAGAATTGGTGCAGGTTACAATTAAAACGAAATGTAAGAGAAAGACACTTTAACTGAAATTTCTAATTAATGGTTGATTTGAGAATTGTACTGGGAAAGGAACTATTACATATTTCATTGAAGAGACAAAAGTGGGTGAGAACCATGAGGTATTAGGTTCAAAGGTGTGGCTTAGTGGTCAATGAATTGGGTGTGGCCTAGTAGTCAATGAAGTGTTGCCTTGTTCTGAATAGTCTGTTTTGATTTATTGATTTCCATAAGGAGCCCATAATTCTCTGAGGGCATAAATTGGCATCACGACACAACTGGTGGGCCTGGAAGAAACTTTGTAAACCTTGGAGTGATTCAGTAGCCGCAGTTCCAAACTCCCAATCTCTCATCCTGAATAATAGGTTGATATGACTTATCTAAGCTATAGATGCCTCTCATTGTTGGTAACAGAGCATTTTATTGAACTTATTCAGAGTACCGACTCTTACTGATTTTGTATTTTGATCTTGAACTATATGTTTCTGGCACAGGGAGAAATTCTTAATGCCTGACAAGCTCCTTAAGAATGAGAACTTTTTGATAAATTTGCATCTGCAAAAAGTGGTATAATAGGGTCCAGGAAATAGTTTTTCCAAGAGTTAGCTGAAATAGTTTATTTGTTTATCCTGATTGGAGTAGACTGAATGCCTTCTACATCATTAAGACTTGAGGTTCTCTATTTTGAAGAGGATGAGGATTGTTTACATATAAAGGATGATACTTCCATCAGTATAGCATACTATTCAAATATATACTGCTATGCCGCAATACCTTTAATGTTTATAAATTAACATTCAAGATATTTTTTTAACCATATTGTCTTCTTTTGTCTGGTATAACAAAATTTTAAGCTATTTATTCAGTACTTTCTCTTTTCTCTTGGTGTTGATGTTTGAAAATCAGCATAGCTTTTGGAAATAATAGTATCTTTCAATGCAGAACTGACATCGTTTATGATGTCTTCCTCTGTCCTGCTGATTCTTATCTCCTATTTATGTGTTGTTTTGCAGACATCTTAAACAGCTCATTGGCAGGTTAGTTCTCTGCTTCATTTAGTGCCTGAAAAACTGTAAGGTGTAAAGTTATACAAGTAATCCTCTGCGAAATTGAGTGAAGTGTTATACTGTTTCCTGTTTAAAAGTTACTCTATGAAGGCATAATGTTGGAGAAACGATTAAATCTTTTGGCTATGGGATATTATTTAAAGCGACACTAATCCAGCAATTGACTGAAACCTAAGCCATCTTTTTATTTTTCTTGTGTCTAAATCCTGATTGCACTAGTAACAACTCACAACAGAGCACTATACTCACTAAAAAAACAAAAAACAGAGCTGAGATGTTCTGGACAAACTGACTGTTTGACATCTGCTAAAAGTTTTGAAGAACTGTCTAGAACACTGAAAGCAAAGTAGAGAAAGAGCCACCCTTTGGCTCTCTTCCTCCATTTGTCTGATTAATGTAGCATTTTTCTGCCATCTAACTATATAGTCTTTCACAATTTGTGCTGCATGCATGCAGTTAAGTAGGTCGCTGTTGAAAAATTTAGGAGGAGAGGTTTAATTTGGTTTAAGCTGCTTCCTCTAATCATTGGTTCTTTTTGTGATGCAGACTGTGGTAAAAATGATCCTCAGTTGAATGAAGAGATGAAAAAGGACATTGCTACTTTACTAGCAGAGGAGATTAACTTGCAAAAAAATGTTACTGATGACGTCTTGAATCGCACCAAGGCTCTAATTATGAGTGCCAAAAGAGCATCTTCACACTACCAAAAAGAATCAGAGAAGTGCAACATAGGGATAGATACATGTGAGGGAGGGAGGGAAAAGGCTGAGGCTGCATTGATAGAAGAGCGCAAGCTCTCTGCACTGTGGGAGACTCGAGCCATTGAGTTTGGCTGGAAGGACTAGTGAAGACTTTATTCCAGGAAAATTAATTAAACCATTTTGGTCTCTGTTAGAATTAGAATAGATATGCCTCTTTCCTTGTACACCCATTTGTGAATATGGTTTTCCCTTTTCGTCTGTCTTGGTTTTCATTTCTTATACTTCAGATTGTGTTGATTTCAGTTAATAATTTAATTGACGTTTTTCCAAGTTGTGTTATCACAATTCACATCATTGTGAACGGAATGCGTGTGGTTTTCAATTTGGCCGTCTTGCTGTCATGTCATGAGTACATGCTGTTCTCTCAAGAGTTTCAGTCATCTACATTGTTATCACCAAGCAATAGTTAATTACATTCTCTCACATTAATTATAGTAAACTAACACCAAGTATAGGTAATCATTTACTTAAAACTAGTTTTCTCACCCGTTCATAGCTTATAATGGGAGACTAGGAAAAAATAAAACATAAAAGGTGTTTTTTTCGAAAAAAGATGGAAGGTGGTTTAGTGTTGATAATTGGTTGAATTTGCATGCTCTAAATTGAAACAAACAGAAAGACTGCAACGTCTCAATTATCCATAATATAATTGGGAAATGCTAAATTGCCAGAAAAATTGGCAGAAATTTAAAAAGTCTATAATATTCTTTTTATTTTAAAATAAACTGATTTTTTTTTTTCATTTTTTAATTAAAAGGTATTAAAATTAAAAGGATAAAAATGTTCAAAAAGGTAAAATAACATAGTGTGAAATATGTTATTTTACCATTCTAGCCAAAAGGATTTTTCCAAATAGATGATACATCACATCGAGCAATGCATATTTCACACATATCCTAATAAGATCACATAGGAGAAAACAAAAAAGCAGGTGAGCAATCTTGATGGTACCAACAAATGTGAAACAGAATTACATGTAATGAACAACATAACAGTAAAAGCTCCTGGGGTAACAAAGAGTCCAAACGCTGAATAGGTTTAAATTGCAAGCAAAAACTTTGAATTAACTTATATCATTCTTTTGGTCACTTCCTTCAGATATGAAGGTCTATTTATTAAAGATGTTAAGCAAGAAAAATACAATGTAAAACAAGGAAAGGTTAAACAGGCCAAAGCATGGTGTTTCAACATAATGTAGGAAATGACTTGTCCAGCTTCTGCATTCAACCCTTGTTATAGAGTCAACGCGCAAGCCAATTCCATCAAACCAAGTATATACTGTCCAAAACTGCAAACCCGGCTGCAACTCCTCCCTCATTTGATGAAGAGACCTTTGTTCGCATCAAGTAACCAGCCTGTTGGTTGATTAAAACTTCTGTTTTGTTCCTGCATATGAAGTGCATATCAGCACAAGATGTTAGAGGGAAACGATGATTTTAAAACTTAGGTTTACAAAAAAAAAACCATTCTTCCTCATTTGTTATTCAAATAATCTGCATCCCTTGTAACATCATTCTATGAATCAAACATAAGCTGAAAGTAGGGACTGGAACATGCTTCGGGTAAAAAGGTTGTCTCAACGTTTCTCCTTTCTGGCAGTTCCTCTTTTTCATTCTTACGTTAAATTGGGGTGAGTGGGTCCATGGGGGTGCAATACAGCATATTCACTAATTACCTTAAATAGGTACCATATATCCCAAGTTCTGATATGGTTTGTTCTTTATGAGAGATGCCTTCTTGCATTAGTATCGAGTGAGAGATCTTCGGAAAAATCCTCTGCATTAGAATGTAGGCTGCATCACTTCCAGTGCCTTCCTTTTGCAGTTTCAAAAGAGCGTCTCTGACATCCTCCCCGTAGATATTGTTTCCTGAGGTGAGAAGAGGATCTAGTATTAATGATTTTGATGTGTAGTTACAATATAGACAAAATCAATTTCATGAGCCAGACCTCCTCCTTCTCGTTGTGGTTTCATAACATACAATTCTGGCCTGTCAATTGCATCCTTGACAATGTCGGATTCATCCAAGCTCCACAACCCTGCAAAGCATTTCCGTAATTTGGCAATGTCATCTTTGTTTTCCAGAAACCTGCTCATAAACAAGGACGGAAGTTTACCAAATCATAGATAGAGTATTAGGAAAAGTTAATTTCTCAATGACTGCATAACTGTATTCATTATGCTCCCAGCTTACAAATTAAACGAAACGTTCTACTTCAAACTGTCTGGGTGTCTATATCTTTCTAACTTAGACATTTATTTTTTTACCTTCTTTTTGTACCACAGGAAAAGAGAGCAACGGAATGACATTATTCATCACAATCAGTTTATAAAGCACTAAATGCATTAAGTTTTGCCTTTCCAGAACCCCATTACAGAGAGGGAGATCCCAAACAATTATCCAGACTCAAATTTAAACACCTGTATCAACACACTAAGTTTACTAATTACTGAATCACAAGAGACGCAACTTGAGTTAAGCTTTTACCTTTCAAGTACATTGGGCTTTGCAAGCTCTTGCTGAATCTTCTTGCTGCCAGCTAAATGATAAGAAATTGAAGGGCACTTGACTGCACGTGATTGCTCCATCAGCAGCCTAGCTTTCCACTCCTACAATAAATTGCATAAAACAGATCAAGCAAAAATGATAGGTAACTGGGAAGTGTATAACTAAGTGGAGATCACAACGAGATGCAATAGTAAATGGCCAATCTCTCTATTTGGGCCACTTTCATAATCTCAAATATTGAACAGTACTTATGAATCAATTCTGCCTCTACCCAAAAACGTGTGTGCACAACTTAGAGATGCTTTCAAAAGATTTTGCAGAAAGTAAAGGCTAAATATCCATAAGACTAACTAAAAGAACCAGAGACTGCCTTTTAACTGTACAATGAAAATGATCAGGGTCCATTATCCTGAATTAGGCATCCAAACCTAAGTTGCTCGGTCTCTCCAAAATTGCTGCCGCACCCGTGTAGGATCCTCCAAAAATGCACTACTTTTGGAGGATCCGACACGCACCCGTCGACGTTTCTGAAGAGTCTGAGCAACATAGATCCAAACAGTTCCATTTCAATTAGTTATCGAATTTTTTTTTGCTTCCATTTCACTTACCAGGAGAATGCAATGCCTTAGAATATGGTGTTCATTAACTTTGTTTAAAATGAGCGAGATTCCTATGTTTTTGACATGGCATGGGGGTAAAAGCATTTTAAACAAAGTTTTTTTTTTATCAAATAAAACTTTGTTTAAAATGTTTTTACCCCCATGCCATGTCAAAGACATTGGAATCTCGTCACAAGCTACTCTTATTTTGGACTCTGAAAACTACTGCTGACTACTCCTCAGCCAGTGATCAGTGCTAAACAGCACTTTCCCTTCCACCCAAAATCATGTGCTCATTTCTCTTTCTTCTCCAATTGTGTGTACCTATGTTTTCTCTCACCTCCCTATCTAAGAAATTCTGATCTAGAGTATACCTGCTAAAATAGGGAATAACCTGCCCACTGTTTTTTTATCAGATAGGTTCCCCCTTGGAACTGTGTTCTCCTTTTTCTTTTAATAAGGAATTGCTTATTCCTTTTTTTCATTTCAGGTATTTACAGATTCGATAAGAATTGTTAAATGGCATGAGATGGTGATTCATAAAGATACCAACAGATACATTTATCAAACAAATCGAGCCATGTAAAAATCTGACTGTACAGAGGGTATCCACCTCTAATGTCAGCAAATAGTGGTTATTGCACATATGAGAATAGGAATTTAAAAGTAAGCCAGTAATTTCATAACCATAGTCAAGCGGTATAAAAATAATCTTACAGATTCCGAGTTATAGTCACTTGGTGCATAGCCAGCTCTAAAATAAATGACTGCCACAGCTTGACCATCTCTGCAATCCTAAAGATTTTAAGCTTCCCATACAGAAAGTGCAAATTTAACAGCTTTAACACAGTATTTTGGTAGAAAAGTTACATACACAACAAGGGTACCATCTTGTTGAAGCTCGCCAAGTGCATCAATTTCAGCCAGTGTCTTTCTGATAGTTGTAACTTGATGTGTGTTATAAGCTAAGGAAATATCTTTAGGAGAATTTACAAGCAAAAATCACTGCAGATGTACTACACAGAATGCATTTTTGATACTTCAGACCAAGATAATCTTAAGTGTCTTAAATATGGCTATATTCCTTTATTAGATCCATGATAAGTACATTAAATCCACATCTATCATTGCAAGTAGGATATCTTTCTCTCAATGATGCAGAAAGCCAATGCTGGTCATACATATTGCGCTCTTCAGTTTGAACCACAAACATAATCACAGCCCTGCAATATGTATTAAAGTTAGAACAACTTCAAAGACATACTTTCCGGCATTAAGCAAAAAAATCTGTCAAATCAAATCGACCTTGGATCACCATATTCATTCCAAGCTTTAGCCAATGCTTCAGCAAATTGATTTACAGCATTGTTTGCGGGAATTCTGTTAGGATCTGATGCAATGTCTTCTCTGTATTGTTGAAGCAAGCTCCTGTAAACGACAGTTAATATCAACTTCTATATGGGCTTTAGAGGAGAAAGAGCTAGATGTTTTATGATCTGACATTATCTTTTCAATATTCACGCATGCATACACTGAAGATTTCATCATAAAACAAAAATCCAAGAAATAACTTGATAAAATTACAACAGAAGTTCTGGATAGTGAGTATCGATGCCAGACTGTCCTATAACACACCATTTACCCAACTGTACTGCAGATATCATTAGCTGCTTGTTTAAAGCCCTTGAAGGTTTTTGTTGCTCAAGGTTTTTGAATTTTTTTAGACAAGGACATTACAATGCATTTCATTATTAAAAAAGTGGAAGCTTTGCTACATAAGTTAACATAGATTATTTTACCTGTGAAGCTCGCTGACCAGACAACTTAGCCCTGGAAATGATGATGAAATTGTGTTAAGCTCTATTTGCAGAAGTAATTTAGTTTGCTCATCCAGCATATAGTCTGAGCGATGCAACCCCAAGCGTATTTCCTACATCAATGTCATATCAAATGGGAAATTCTCTCCTACACAAAGAAACAATAAAATACTCCTACAACTAATATAAGTCGACTTAGGCACATAAATGAATAATGCCTTCTTATAACGATTGGAGATGAAGAAATACATGACAGATTCTCCATTCCTGATGATCAAATATGGCAATATCTAAAGCAACAAGGAGAATTTTTTATTACTATCAGGCAAATTGAGTAACACCAAGTCCAATGATAAAAGGGTCAATCAAAATCATGGTGATTGATATCATGTATTAGGAATATCAAATTTGTATGTCAACCCAAAACGACAGAACAAGTCTAACAATGATTAAAGAATAGAAAAGAAATGCCAATATTTAAAGAGCTGACAAATGTGGTACGCACATATCTCGAAATTAAAATTGTATGATATCAAGATGTACCTCTATCTTGTTGATTTCTAACATCTTGGAGTGGATTTCTAGTAGTCTGGAGGTGAAAGGATCAACTTTTCTCGTCCTGCAGAAAATTGCATTAAGTTTCATAAAACTCTAAAGAACTACCATTATCTCTTCCAACTAACTAGAGAGTTGTGTATTCTGTTCCAGTACATGCTTTAAGTGAACAGCAAACACAGAAGCAATTATGTGTACCAACCTAGACAGTGATTGCTGCAGAAATTCTCCATCCTGACTCACGCGATCCACGAGTTCATTGAAAATAGGAGCAACTTCACAAGCTTGCTTCCAATGACTTTCAGGAAATGACATTGGTATCAGAGCAACTGGAGCATGAACCATATCAACACCAGGAACAGTTCCTGACCTCTTCAAATTTCAAAAGGCACAAATATCACATGAAAGCAATAACAATAACACCTAACCACCTTCTTGATAAACAAAGGAGAAAAGGAAAATAAAGCACCAATCTTTAATCAAAACAATAAAAGAAATAAACAAAATCTGATATTTTCATAGACAATTCAGTAATACAAACTTATCTCTCTGTGATGTAAAAAGCAGTTTCTATTGCCATAAAGACTGACCTCCGAATTTCTGTCACCAACAAGAAGTCCACGAAGAGAGCACCAGACAAGGGCATCATTAGCAAGCTTCTGCACCAATTTTGGGTCGATATCATGAGGATCGACAATGGGTTTCGCAGAATTTTCCACTTGGGTCTGCATTTTGTGCACTTCAGCACACTTCAATGGGGATTTGGGTATGAAAATCTTGGAAGATTTAAGGAGATGGGGTTCCAAGAATCTAGTAGGTGAGCAGAAATTTAAAGGGTTTGATGGTGATTCTTGGGATTGAAAAGGAGAGGCAGCGCTTATGCTAGTTAGTGAGATTGATGGAGAAGAACAGCCGCTGCCCATTTTGACATTCTTTGGACCCCTTATGTTACCTTATTATCGTCCAAAGTGGCTCTTTACGTTTGGCTGGCTGCTAAAGGGGAGGGAATCTTGTTCTCAATTTGCCTTTTTTGAGGAAAGTGTGTTGCAACTTTGCTCAAGGAATATGCTATAAAATTATCAATTCATCCCCCATATACATTAAAATTATGTATTATCTCCAAATGGAAAGATGTCACTGCTGACATCAAGAACTAGGTAAAATGTCCAAAACTATGTATATTTATAACAAAGTAAAGACAAAAAAAAAAAAAAAAAACTAGGAGGAGATCTTGACTATTGAACTATGGAATGAGTAGGAAGATTTCTCTTTGGGTAGAAGGGTGTGCGCGCGTGAGGATCATAATTATATATTATTATTAGCTTGTTTGATCAAACTTTTAAAATCACTTTTTCTTCGTAAAGCTATTAGGAATTTTTGATAAGCTTGTCCTATGTGAAATTACATCTTAAATTGAGTGTCTAGTTTTTTAGATTTCTCTAACTTGAGGAGGAATAAATGTTGCAAATGCAATTATATTTAGTGTATATTTTGAAGAATATGAGTATGTGTCATGCTATAAAAGAAAAGGAATATGAGTTCTGCTTCATGGCAAGGTGAGATCCCTTTTTCTATTCTTGGAAGATGAAATGAACATAAAATTTAAAGTAATATATGTTCTTACTTAAATTTGCTGTCTCTTAATGTTAAACTTTAAAGTGTTCTATTAGGTGTAAATATTGATGTGCGTATATTTAATTGAGTACTAAAATCTGGATATATATTTGGACGTCAATAAGTTAATATTATAAAAAAGTTGTTCAATCTTAAACAATGCCCTGTCAACCATATGACCATAACACCTCATAGATACTAATGAGTGAGAACTTATTTCATATCCCAAACGCAATGTGCGTCATTAACAAGTATAATTTACTAGTAATTTTTTGTTATTTGCACCTATGAATTTACTATTTCTCATCCCAATTTTCATTTACATTAGAGCCCACCTTGAGAATTGATTTCAATGGTTTTGGCTCTTCTTTTACTTCCTCTTTGTTGGAAGGCACTTTCTCTGTTGATTTCTTTTTCTTCTTCTTCTTCTTACTGAAATAAATCTCCTCCACATTATCATTTATGCTAACCATCTTCTTTGGAGCTTTATTTTGAGTTTCCATTGATGGTCCAGAGGCCTCTTCCTCAACAATCTTGTCACCTTCATTCTCTTCACTAGTTACCTGAGAAAGCTCACTTTCTTCATTTTCAAGGACAGGATCATCTTCAACTACAGCTTCTTCCAGCTTGGGAATTACACGAGAACTCGAATCTTCAGAATGCAGAACATGTTCATTGGTTGAGTGATTTCCATTACCTGGATTAGATCGAGATTGGCTTGTATTGACCAAACTGTGACCCTTGGAATCACCCAAAGTTACAGGTTTGGTAGCTTCATCAGCAAGGCTCTGCACAACAAATTCATAAAGCCTATCGACAATAAGGAAGCCATTGCGCCAAGATAAATTCAAACTCGTGATCATGTAGATTTGACCTGCTATTTCAGCAGCAGTATCCTTGAACAAGTTGAATAGCCTTCGACAGATGGATAGACTGAAACACACAGGACATCCAAAAGACATGATATAACATAGGAACTCATTAAAAATGCCAAAGAGCTGGATCTTGTTTTCTCCTTGGTCCATTTCTTAGTCTGTTTAAAGAAAGGAAATTAAAAAAATAATGCAGGCTTTTAGCCTGCTGTAGCATTGGATTCTTTCTGCAAAGACAAGCAACAGTTGCAAGCAATGTTCCTTTTCTTTTCTTGAGAGCAAACCAAAGCCAAAGCCTGATAGCATCTTATTTCCTCCTTCCATAAAGCTAATGTTTATAGAGCATCAAGGTTTTTATTCCTTGCCTCTTTCTCAACTCGAGTTTAAGAACAAAAAGATAATCAAGATGATGGCTCTGATTGTCAATCTCAGCTTAAGAATTGAAACCAATTGAGCATGGAAAACTAATAAAGAGGATTAAGGGATTTGGTCAGCTTTAACTGAAGTGCAATACTTTCGAACAATGAAATACTAATTGATTGAAGAGCACATGAAGAAAGAGAATGAAACCAGACGAGATGTATTACTATTTACCAAGCAAAGAAGCAAGGAGTATACTTCTTTGTACACAATTTTCACCAAGTCAAATGATAGACATTCCCTTAAATCACACTGACAACACTTCAAAACAATTACAAAAAACTAAAAATACATCTTTAAAGGTTTTCTTCTAAGAACGATTATTCAGGACCACACCTGCTTATTAAGTCATAAAATGGCAGATACACAAGTCTGAAGGAAATTTTCTGAATGGACTCGGGGATAAGGCACACAAAAGTACTCTTCGACCCATGAGGCAGTCCCAACTAATTAGCTTGAGAGAAACAAAGACATGTAGTGTCTAAGGATTGGATAAGTTACAAATCTTAGCATCTTACAAAATTGAAGTGTATCACTCCCTCTTCACTTAGTCTATCTAAACTTTGATTCGTCCACATAAACGCCAGTATGCTCCAGGGTGGAAGAGAGACTTCTCAAAAACCCATATATCACGTACCAAGACCTGGATGGGAAAAAACAAATGAGAAAATAGTGTTTTCTACTACTATTGCATAGGCAATCACATAGTAGGACTTGTTGCCAAAATGCTTCACTAACATAACTACTATGATGGTGGAAAACTATAAATTTCAGCATACTAAATATTAGACCTTTGTATTATCTGTGGTGACTTAGCAGCCCTTTACTAGATGCAACCAGGAATGCTGTTTTTTCTTTTTTTTAAAAAAACAGAAGAAAATATAGAACGTTATAAGAGGTTTGCAAGGTAATGCTTCTGGCATCCCAAATTCCCAATCCATATGTTAATATCCCAGATATATTTGTAAGATATGGAGCCATTAACTTAGACTAAATAACAAACTCTGGTTCAGCATTCCTCAACTTTGGAGTGTAGAAAAGTGACTTTCTTCACAGCAATGTCGGATGGCTAATTCAGTTGATCACTGCATTATACAGAATCTCTATCACATACCTCCTTATTTCTATCTCCAGAGACAACAGCTCCTTTCCCATCATATGCCTCAAACTTCTGTAAAAAAGCTTAATATCAACATAGGATAATCATTTCTAATAACCGTAGACTGCATTACTACAAAAGATGTGTTGGTCTTTTAAATTTTAAATATTAAAAGTAAAACCTGACGCACTCGTGGAAACTAAACGAAGTTCCTTTGGACTAGTAAAACATGAGAAAGGCTGTTCTCCAATTATTTCATTTACAAACTAATTTTGCTAAGGTGATATGATAAGGGTTAATTCCTTTTCTTATCCACAAGTGGCAGCAGGATCTCTTGGTTTTAAGGTAACGAGATAAGGGTTTATTCCTTTTCTTATCCACAAATAGCAGCAGGGTCTCTTAGTTTAAAGGTAACAAGATAAGGGTTTATTACTTTTCTTATCCATAAGCTGCAGCAGGATCTCTTAGTTTCAAGGTAAGACTGATATGACGCCAATAGAACTCTTTCCTTTTTTAGGCTAATTTAACAACCATGAAAATTAATCTATCCTGGTTTTTCTTTATTATACACTATGTGACCACAGCATAAACATAATTGTTAACTCATGTGACAGAATCTGCAATCAGTTAATTTAAGTCCATTAACAGACAAGGAAGCAAGTTCATCATCAACTAGAAGTCATTGATATTTGCAAGCACAGTATGGTTAGTGCATCTGTTTTGGGTATAGAGGTCGCTGGTTCATGAATAAGCAGTAGGAAACTAGAAAGTGATCTTCCAATACTCTTCTTTCTTTCCTAGCAAGCAGGAAATTTCATGAGCTAAAATAGTCTATCAAAACAAGCAAGCAAATAGGTAAAGCCATTGCCACCTGTCATGCCATGATTCAAGTTGAGATTGTGTTCACAGAATCCTCTTTGGGGTACTAGGGATAGGAGAACACCAATCGGCACCTATTCACTTTCTTCTTTTCTCAAGTTACAATCAGAATGGTGACATTATCTTTTGCTTGAGTTGTTTTTCCAAGTAATTCTCTATAAAATGGATGTCTTTGATTGCCATGTTGATTAGCAATAAACAAAGGTTATCCGCCAGGTAAAGTCTTAAAGGTGTGGTAATATAGACAAATTATGCAGCTATTTTCTTTCTCAAAATAAATAAATTATGCAGCTATTTGGTCATATCAACAGGACTGGATGTCAAATTTCACAACCGAATCAAGCATTACAATCATGAGATGCAGAAAACTTCAAACAGCTACAACACCATTGACAGGAGCAGGCATCAGCATCAAATGAACTCAAAACAGAATATATTTAAATTACTGGCCAGCTTACCTGCTTAGCCAGAAACTCAAGTGTAAGCTGTATGAACACCTTACTCAGATCATTTCGATCAACACCAATCTGCAAAGAAGCAGCTACAGAGTTCTATCATTGCACAACTAAGAAGGGGCAAAAGTTCAAACGCCAAAACTTCCACACGAATAATCACTTGGTGGAGAGAAAATCTAAAGAGAATGAAATTCCTTTTTTTCCCCTTTTTACATGATAGAGGTTCCATTTGTTGCTATATTTCTTAATATTCGTGAAAAGTGATTGAAGGGAGGCGAAGGATAAACAATTTAACAACAGAAAGAAAAAACACTTTCAGTTCACATCATCTTTGACATTATGAGCTCTCTACAGTTTGCTTTCGCCTAAAAAATATAAGAAATACAACATATATAGTACCTGATATGGAAAACTGAGTAGAAAAGCAATTCAACAACTTCCAATATCAAATAGCCTCTAGGGCTTTAATATTTATCATCCCAGTTAAACTAGCACTCTCTCCCCAATCAATTACGTGGCAAGTTGGCAACGTCATCTTAAGAAAAGATATAGGCAATAAGACAGGTACAAAAACTAAAAATATTATCAGAAGCGTACACAATTTCTTAAACCCTGATGTGTTTCGTTATCGACCCCATTGAATACGGTTTCTCCAAGAAAGACAAATACCAAAACCAACCCAGGAAGAAAATTTATGGAAGGGTTTGCTGCTGAAAAACCAAATTAGAGAGACCAAAAATGTAGATCTATCCATCACATAAGGAAGTGTCCCTCAGAACCCGAGACAGAATTTATAAAGGGTCAGCATAAAAGGCTTTGATCCTGACAAACCAAATAAGAGAGACAAAAAATGTAGATCATATACATCACATGGAAAAGGTAATCATCTTGAGTTCCACCTAGTGTCCTGGTAGTTACATAATGTTCCTACACATGCAAACCAAGGCAGTTACAAGCTTGTATGGTTAAGGTTTGGTACTTGCCAATCGAGCTCGCAGAGTTCGCACTTTTACAATTGGTTCAATTAGTTCCCAGTAGACAGTAGGCCACACTGATTCTCGTTGCTTGATCTCATTCTTGAGAGCCTGTCTTGTAAGACCAAAGGAAGAAATATGTCAAACAGACTAGTTTTAAGTTTAAAGTCAGAAAGAGTGAATTAATTAAATAGCCCATGACAAATATAGATAACTGTGGACCAATCCGATAGCCAACATGGCCTATGTATGAAAATTGAAGTGGTCCAAGATCCACTCATTACAAACAGGACCTAACCCATGCCAAAAGCATAATCTCATTGTTTCATCCAAATGACCAGGTTAAGCAGCAGGATTGAAGGCTCGGTGTGAATTCAGAATAAAAATACCAGGTATAAGAACCTACAGAGTACATATGCTCCGTAACTAATTTCCTCAAAGTTCCCTTTCCTCCATTTGCCATTTGGGTATTTATCTGAAAGGGGAAAGGCAGAAGTACATGCAAGTCAAATGCTGAACATAGAAAATGTTAGTAAACAGAAACAAGAGGACGACAATCACCCAAGAAGTCTAAAGTACTGAAAAAAATAGAACAAAATTGAAAGAACACCTCTTTGTATATGGTAACAGCTTCAGTATAGAACTGTTTTTTTGAATATCCAGATTTTCGTAATTTAGCAATAGCGTATGCATTTTTTAGCTGCAAAGACAAATTTGATGAGTAAAGCTGAAGACAATGAAGATAAAGGACATATAATAGGAACTTTTCGCATAATCACCCTTAAATAATATCAATAATTTCTTATTATTAACCCCGAATCTAAGTGAAGGAACATGCCATGAGGGGTTAAAAACTTAAGAATAGCAGATCTTGAAACAATATATTTTTGTGAAGTAGTCAAGTAGCAGTGCAAATGAGTTTATATAGAATGGTCAAATGCACAAATAATTACCTCTGAAGTAAGATCCTCCTTTGTCCTTTTCCAACCATTTCTAGTGAAATACCTGGTATCAAGATTTGAAAAGTTGAACACAGGTTGTTTTGCATGATCGCGAAGTGTAAAGAACTCCAAATCACCGAATGAGCACTTCTAATTTTATTTATAATACTGTGACCTTTTTATCAGCATCACTACAAAAGAGATCTAAAAACATTTCTTTAAGGAGTGTATGACCTAACCATGCATCTGCCAAGGTGAATTCTCCTTACATTCCCTACTTTGAATAAGACGTACAGTACCAAGATAGTACTCCAGCAAGTACAAAAAGCAGGACTTGGTTTACATTACAGATTCAAAGATTCTAACAAGTCCAGCATGTCATACATATTTAAATCAAAATTTACTTTCATCCAATAGTACAAATTTTGAACACATCTATATTTGACAACATGAATCATCTCCTTTTTGTCTTCAAAGCACCTCCTATTTCCACTTTGAACTAGACATTGTTAATAACTTAATATTAGTCCATTGATTTCTTATATGTTTCGGTATACCAACCCCAAAAGAACCTACTACCTCATTCGTGCACCATGGTGCGTGTTGTCCATATTTAGCTTGCCTCAGTTTTCTCCTCATTATATTTTCTCCTTGGATACTGTCTTATGTGAGCATATACAATCCATCCTGTCCTAATCAATGTCAGTTTGTAACTAGAACAAAGAATTTGACAGTCCTAGACTGCCACACCAAAAGTTACCTAAATACCATAATAGTTTTCTCTCTGTTAGATACAGACTAAAACTGATTCCAGAAAAGATCTCTTGTATTTAGATATTAATCAGAAGAGCGAGCAACCAAAATCAAAAGCCAATTGCATGAGAAGTCTTACTTACCGCTTCCAGAATGGGATTTTCTCACGAGGGACATAAGGCTCATATATGATTCCAGGACTCAGCATAGACACTTTGACTGCTCCCTATAGACGGAAAAAATTTAAAGCTTAAATGTTTATCCAACTTGATCATAAAAAAAAAATTCTTTTGACAAGAGAGGGTAGCTCAAGTGGAAAGCACATCTATCTCCAACCTTAAGGTTGTGGGTCCAAGTCACCAAGGGAGAAAATTACCACATCTAAAGAATAATCTAAAGGCCGTAACAGATTAATGTGCTTAACTCTAACAAGTAACAACCAAAATGAAACCAAGCATATTTATTCATCACTAGCAGAGTTTCAATTTTGTTACCATTTGCCGCGCTTGGGCTGGAGCTTTTGCTTTTGTTGTAACTGATCGCATGTAACCATAGCTTATTGGCTCCTGTGTCTAGATGGAAAGTAAAAGTGATAGGAGTAGTCAAAGCTCTCATTCAACAAAATAAGGATATACAATTGCTACAAGGAAAACGATCAGGAGTATCAATTCCACTAGAAGAAAAAGTGAGCAAACTAACAAGGACAATAGTACAGAAGAGACAGCAACAGATTCACTGATCAACCAATTTTAAAATAATATTGAAACAGTTCAAAAAGAACTTTGATCTGTCTAAAAGAGATAAGGACACACTATAAGAGTGTCAACCATCAGTTGGGATTCCATAGACTCCACAGAAAATTCACCTCTTCTGCTGCGAAACTCCCTTTAGCCTAAACTTACCTTATTTCATGTGAAATAGGAAGAGGAGATAAAAGCTCTTGTTTGAATTGGTTGGTGAACAGTATATAAGAGAACTCTTATATCGGAGTTTAGGCTACTTAATAATTAATATAAGAAAATTATAAACAACTGTAATAACGGAAGTTTAGGTTAAAATAAAGTTTTCTAATTTTTTGGGATTCTTAGTTATAAAGTTATTCTTAATGATTCTCTCTGGACTTTCAATATGCTCCATCAACAGTCAAACAGAAGGTGCTTAAACCACTTGAGACAACTAATAGTTACAGACAAGTTAAAACTTAGATAAAATGCTCACAAAATTTAAATTATAAAAAGGAAAGCTACCTCTGAATACAACTTTGATATTTTTTTTAAATCTAACTCACCGTAGTTGAATGGAGCATTATTTTATCTCCAGATGTCCAGGGGATACCTCCATGGTCCTTATAGATGCAGGATGATATGCACCTCAGTGTGATATGTGGAACTGAACACCAGGAGTAGACAGTTTAACAAAGAAATATGTTTGTTCAACTAACAGCTCAGAGTTCAAATTCTAAAAGGCAGAGAGGTCAACACAACGAAAATGAAACAAGAAGGAAGAAAGTAAACTAATTGATTCAGAGTGAGTGGTCTTTCACCAAGTGAACAGGTCTTTGTAGTAGATCTATTATTCCATGGATGGAGGTCCGGCCATTTATATAAGCAAGTAAATTGCTCCAGCTGTTGTATCGGATCACAAGAAAAGACTATTCAATTCATTACAGATAAGAGTTATCCCTCATAAGAACTGAAATGAATGAAATGGAAAATGATAGGATAATCAGAAAACAACATATCTATTCCAACATGATGCAATTCAGCTACAAATAGACCAGCTTAATTTACGATTTCATATTGCAACCAATCCCATAAGTGAGAACAACAACCATAAAAAACAATTCATTCACCTATTCCACTTGTATCTTTCCATCAGCCTCTAAACACAACCAAAATGAAGTAAATTTCAACAAACCCATTTGTGAAATAGAATATCAAATGCGCGTAGAAACTGAAAGCATACATTTACCATTTGAAATAGATTTTGAATTGCTTCTTGAGCTGGCTAGCCTGCAGTATCCAAAAAAGAGGCAGATTTGATACAAAAGACATCTTTAATTCCGAAAAAAAAAATCTAACAAAACGGAAAATAGGGAAGCTGGCTGTTTCGCTAATAAATTCGTTTTCGCATGTAATCAAAATATAACAAGTCTTTGCAGAAAGAACTTTATATGCATTTTACGAATTTAAGGATAGAGATTATAATGAATTGAGCAGCTTACAAGGTAGAGAACTCTCGAATTTGAACTGTTTCAAAGATGTTTCGAAGCGTCTGCAATCGCCCTAAAGCCATTTGTGATCAAGGAGATTCAAGACGGAAATGGAGGTTTTGGAATTTGAGAAGAGGGTTTAAGGAGGATTTGTTTGCTACTTCGCAGCATAAATTAAGCTGGTAGTGCTTACCGTTTATGGACTGCCACCTGTCACAATTTTTGTTTTTTAAAAAAACATGGTTTTTGGTTTTACCCTTCTTTTCTTTTTTTTACCTGGTTTTACTCTTTTACATGATCAAAACTAATGTTTTTTTATAAAAAAAAATACTCTCTGGGTTTTTTAAGAAATGGTTTAATTTGCCTTGAGACGATGGAGTTTAAGAAAATAAAAAATATTTTTCACTATTGTGGTAAAAAACTAAAGTTAGGCTAAATGTACCAAAGGGTGTGTGTTAGGTTGGCTGAAGTGTTTGAAAAATATTTTTCAAATTAAGTTATTTTCCTCAAATTTAAGGAAAATAACTTATCCTTTAATTTTTTTCTCACGACCCATACTTCGTAACTGACCCTCCCCATTTAAATTTAATTTTTTTCATTTTTATGCCACCCTCTACCCCCACCCCCCACCCAGGCCATTCCCGTCAAATTTTTTAACAAAAAAAGGTTTTTGGGAAAAAAATCATTTTTAACGCCAACCCCCCCCCCCCGGCGCCACTCCCATCAAAAAGAAAATTTTAAAAAAAAGAAATTGTTTTTTAAAAATATTTTAAATTAAAAAAATATATATCATTTTTATGCCATCCCACCCCATCAAATTGTTTTTTTAAAAAAATAATATTTTTGAATTTTTTTTCCTCAGTCAAATCTCAAGTCAGATTTTGGAATGGTCATCGGGGTCTTGTCCTAATTTGGGTGTCGGGTCGGGTCCTAGACCAATTACCGGTGTTGATTTTCGGATCATAAATTATTTCCTGAAGAGTATTTTTTAGTCTCAAGCTAAAAATAAAATATATTTTCTGAAAAATATTTTTCATTCACCAACCAAACATTAAAAAATATTTTCAACTCACCAATCAAACATGAGAAAATAAGTTAGAAATCCACTTGTTTTCCAAGAAAACATTTTCCTTCATACCAAAACACACCCTTAATCTCATTGCCTTAAACATTTCACGTGGAAAACTGAAATAAAAATATTACTAAAAAGGAAAAAGGGTAATTCTTTTTCAAACAAAATGAAAATGAAAGTAGATAATTCTTTTTTAAATTGAGGGAATAACTTCTTTTTTGAAATATTTTTCAATGTTGGTTAAAGAGTAGACAAATGTTTTATTTAAGTTGTGGTATATCAAAAAAAATATTTTTGTCCTACGAGATAATGATAGTGATATATTTAAGATAAGGATAATATATTTGACAATATTTTTAACTGAACACAAGATTCAAAAGCCTTAAAAACAATTAAATTGAAATGAACCGAATAACTTATAAATACAAATTTTTATGCTTGGATTATTTTGTTATAAACAAAGAGGAAATGACCAGAATGCCCTTGTGTTTCTCCATGGCTGAGAAAAACGTTATCCATACAAGATCAAGATTCAGCCACAACCAATGAAGGAGACACAACATAACACAACACAAACCACCCGAAATATGAACAAAAAACACATAGCCAGTGTCACACTGAACAACAAAAACAACTTTTTTCTGTATTTTCTCACAAATTTTGATCTGTTACTGTTTTTCTTCCAATGGAAACTATTCTCTCCCCTCCTTTTTCTCCTCTCTTCAACCCCAAAACTTCCCTTTCAAAGCCTTTTCTTTCCCTTTCTCACTTACCCAGATCAACTAAGCCAATTTGCTGCAGCCTCAGAAAACAACATTCCCAGATTGAAAAAGAATCTTTTTCAGTACCCAAAAGTTGGGTTTCTCATGTCCAGCAAGGATTAGCTGCTCTAGCTATTTCTTTAGCCCTTAGTTTTTGTCCAGTTGTGTCTTCTGATTCTGCATTGGCATCTGAATTTGATGTGTTAAATGAAGGGCCACCAAAGGACTCATATGTAGTTGATGATGCTGGTGTGCTTAGCAGGGTGACAAAGTCTGATTTGAAGGCATTGTTGTCTGATGTAGAGAAGAGAAAAGGCTTCCACATTAACTTCATCACTGTCCGCAAGCTCACTGTAATTTTTCTTCTCTTCTTTATCTTGAAATAGTCTATAATTAGTTATTCAGAAGAAAAGTTTCAATCTATCTTTATGGTGATTTTCTACTTGATATGCTCTTAAAGTACTTATGTTCTTTTGTAAATTCTTGTCTTGGAGAGACTTATGACCTCAACCTGTAAACTATACTAAGGAAAAATAATCGAAATGGTAACTTTTGTTTTTTTTATAGAGCAAAGCTGATGCTTTTGAGTATGCTGATCAAGTTTTGGAGAAGTGGTACCCTAGTGTTGAACAAGGAAATGATAAGGGTATAGTTGTGCTCGTTACAAGTCAAAAGGAAGGCGCAATAACTGGTGGCCCTGATTTTGTAAAGGCCGTTGGAGATACTGTTCTTGATGCTACCGTCTCAGAGAACCTTCCAGGTAGGAAATACTTCCTCTTAGTTCCTTGTTGTTTGGGCACATTGATTAATTCTGTCATTGAGGTTGATTTCCAATGAATGGTTTATTGAGAACAGTGGTGATAAGTAAGATTCACAATTTTGGTAAGGACATGAAGTATAGTACAGAGAATTAGTATAATAGAGAATATTACTTTTCATAGATTATACTTACTAGGTTAGAAAAGTCTAATTCTCTTCATCAACATTAACAATAGCATGTAAGCAATTTAGTGAGTACGATAAATTCAATAACTCTTAGGTCTTAACTGCTAGAAAAGCTTTCTCATTGTCATGTCTAAGGATTTATAAACAGGACCTAGAAACACAAACTCCAAAAGAGTTCACCTAGTTGTCTATATATTTGTAATGATCCTGAGACAATCCAATGGAGGAATAAGGACTTTTTCTTAGTTATTCTGTGCATGCAATTAAGAATTCTTTAAAAAGCATATCTTCTGGTCCAAAAGTAGATCGTGATGTCGAAGCTCTGGAGAAACTAGTATCATTTGAATGATTCTAGTAGGATGGCAATGACATTTAGACATGCAAGAAAAGGAAACAGATCCCTTTCTCCTTATTATTCATACTTCTAATAAACTGGGATGAAATGAATTTTTTTGGAGCATTCTCCGTTAATTGTCTATTTCTCGAGGTTAAACCCCAGTCCCAAGGTCTCGTTCAATTATTTACCAATTGATAAAATTAATGCAGCATCTGGATTTCATTCTTAGTGCTAAAGTTGGTATGAAAAGTCTCTTTATCAAGAAAAATGGGGTTTGGATGCATGAATTCTAAGTGTTTGTTGGATAAACCAAATTTGGGAAGGTTCGCACAGAACTATCGATGACCACATGTTTTTTCTGTGTGTAGATGACTATTCTAATAAAGTATTATCTATCTAGACAACTTGTTCTGTATATATAGGAGAACTAGCAACCCTAGAACAATTCTGTTTTGTTTCATAGTGAAAGTACATTAATGCTCTTGATTGATGGTGGGGCTATTGGTTTCAATATTTGTAGTCTTGGCTACTGAAGAGAAGTACAATGAAGCAGTTTTCAGCACTGCCAGACGTCTCGTTGCAGCCATTGATGGCCTTCCTGACCCTGGTGGCCCCCAACTCAAGGATAACAAAAGAGAGTCCAACTTTAAATCCAGAGAGGAAACTGATGAGAAAAGAGGACAATTCACACTTGTGGTTGGTGGGCTGTTAGTGATTGCTTTCGTTGTTCCTATGGCTCAATACTATGCATATGTTTCAAAGAAGTGAACTGTCTGATTCTGGAAAGTTACATTTGAGTAAGCATGTATATTATCGTGTACAAAATGGTCCATTCGGAAATGACTGATTCATGAGATATTTAAAAAGGATAAATATGAAGATTTGGACCTCCCCTAACATAACGGATACTACCATTTCTTTTTATAAGAAGTAGATAAAACTTTCCTGTTGCATCGCTGATAATGTAAAGGGTTATTTTTAGTGGTATCCATCATGACACGATCCATAAGTTCTATATTTTCAAGAATCCATGAAAGTATTGAATTTCTTTAGTAAATTAAAATATATAAGTATACAGAGAATAAAACAATGATAAGCATGTTATTTCCTCAGAACTTTAGTTTGAGAAGGAAAGGCATCTTGTCAGCGAAGGGTGGATCAGAGTATTTTCCGGTGAGAATTTGTGAGGCGACAAACTGGTTTGCAGTTTCTGTGTAGTGAATTCCATCCCAATTGATATATTCACTACTGTCATTGCATGCTTTGGCAGTGACATTGTTTCCATCCAACACCTTTGTCTGACCACAGGCAATCCTGCTGTCATAGTTGAGTGGAGGTCCTCCATATCCACAGCAAGCCATTAGTGGCTGCTCAAATCCTGCAAGGTGTAAATGCAAAGTACCAAGTGTTATATTAATTCTTTTCTTCTACAACTTAATGAAAGTGCACTTTGTGGAAACTCTCGTCCTGCTTTAGTTTCCTCTAAGTTGAAGTATAAACAAGTTATCATGATGGCAAAAGTATGATTCTCAGCTGTGTTTATCAGAGGAAGTTCTAAAGTTGGTTTAGCCAAATCAAGAAAGCAAAGGCACCATCACTCCTCCACTCATGGCCTTCCAGATGAAGAACACAGTGGGCGCACTGCAGTTCTTCTCAATAAAGTTCATATGATATTTGGTGGAACAATTTCACTTTATGTCTCATGAATTCAATAATCACAAAGAAATTGCATAATACAATCTTCTTTTTGACATTTGCGAGTAAAGAAACTTAGTAACTTACCATTTCGGGAATAATTTGCTATCAGATTAGACTTGATGGAAAAAATATCAACATGAGTGATATTTGCATCTGAATACTGGCCCTGAAGCTTCTTGCAGAGGGCATAAAGCTGCAGGTTCAAAAGTTTTGCAGCTTGATTATGTGAGCTAACACATCCTAGCTCATCCAACTTTGATACATCAGTTCCAAATTTGGCTATATTCTGACCTAAGCACCCCAATGGACCTGTATTATGAACCCAGAAATTCCTGGCCCCTAGGTCATACAATCTCTGTGATGTCAAAGAGGAAGCAGAAATGAGTTTACAACCTGCAATTGATAATCAGTACAGAAAATCCGCGTAATTTTCTGTTATAAGAATTGACCTTGACACCATCTTCAAATCCTGAAAGAATAGTTGGAATTGAAGCTAGAATTTGATCTAATGTCTTGGAGTAAAATCCACCAGCAAGATCATTCTGGCCTATGTCGAACATATAAAGTCCTTTCTGGAAATAATCTTGAGCTGGAACGTACTTATCATATTTCCTAGCTGCAAAGAAAATCAATAAAATCTCACAAGATATATAGGATTTTGATATATGCAAATCAGAAACATGATCAAACTTACTCTTTGCCTGAATTTCAGAAACCCGATTCTTGAACCTGAAAAACTGAGCAACTTGAATCCCAAATGAAAAAGGGCAGACAGATGATGCAGTGGCAGGAAGTATAGTTGAACCAGCAGCTGCAAAGTTGGCTCCTTTTCTGAAACTCGGTGCAGCAACGGAGTCTAAATAGGAGTTCAAGAATGGCAGATCCATTGCATCCACTGCAACAAAAATCCATTAAAAAAAAGTATATCAATATAACCTTCAAAGTAAATCAAAAAATGGTACTTTGAAGTGGGAATCTTACTCAAGAAATCGATGATTAGTCGGCCATCACAGAACCTCCCAGATGGATTCTTGAAATAAGTTTGTCCATTGGGTGGCTCTAGGCGATCACCAACGCCTGCAACAAGGCCTCCTGTATCAGAATTTGAATCACCAAAGTTGAATACTGCAGGATAATTGAAATCTATGGTATTAGCCAAGGGTAAGCAGATGAAGAAAAGGACAAGAATGTGGAGGACATAAGTGGTTGAAGAAGCCATGTTTTTTTGCCCTTTTGACAAAAAGTTGGCATTTTTATCCTCTTAAAATAAGATTTGTTGGGCTTTTTTGCTTCAATTTCAAGTTGTCTTTGAATTGTGGGAAAGGCTAAAAGATTGTGAATTGGTTGTTGTTCAATTACTTTCATATCCTTCAATGAATGGATGCTATGATTAGAAGTGTTTCCATTAATGAGAAAACAGGTTAGATTAGGACAGTTATCTTGTCATCAAACAGGTAAAAATTGTCCTTTTTCTAATGTTATTTTCTCTAACCACTGATAATATAACTCAACTGAGAAAAATTAACCAATATGGTTCTGTGACTGAGACATTTTAGAATGTCAGTGCATTCATTTCTGATATCATATTTAACTCAATCTTGGTCAGACATGTACATGTGAAAGTTGCTTGTCTTCAACGTGTATATTTACTCCAGCTGTCCCAAAAAATTCGAAATACGAGGATCAAACTGACTAATGTTTGGTGTGAATTTGGACATAGAGTCTCAAAAAAAAAATTAAAAAAATATATAAAAAGTACGGAATTATAAGTTACAACGTTTAACAATTCAAAATATTTTAAAAAACGGAATCAAAGAAAATATCTTTCGACTGTCATGGGCTTCCGGAGTAATATTTCTTTCTTCTTTTAAACCTTTAGTAGGTGGATCTGAATTGAGAAAGTAATGAAGAATAAGAACATTAGGTGGAGGTCAGACATGTTTTAGTAAACAATTCAAATAAGTGTGGAATCTATGCTTATTTAATTACAGATTAGCTCGATTAATTGACATCCCTATCGTCCATGCATACAGTATATTTGTCTAAGCATTAGCGATATTGTATACTTCTTTTTCAAGTTGGTTTACATTTATAATTGTGATCCCTCATCGTTAATCTTTTTTTTTTTTTTTTATGAGAAGGAAAACCCGCAGTCGCTATTCTTTGGTGCGCACAGGGTAAACCCCCGCTCCTATGCAATAACTCGCAAACCACATAGGAGAGGTAACCTGCGCTAGGCAAGTCCGGTGTGGCGAGCTCGACCCAGAAGGCAAATCTCTTGCTTTCATTGGTAAGGGGTTTCGAACTTGAGACCTCCAACATGGAAGTCCCAAGCCTAAACCACTGGGCCACCCCCGAAGGGTCCCTCATCGTTAATCTCTTGACTAGATTAGCCTACTGATTCCGTATTAGTCGAGCTAAGGGATGAGGGATACCAGATGGTTAAATTGAAAGGAATACATTTAACTCACAAAAAAATTCACAGTAACAGAAACTTTTTAAATAAAAATGTATGGTCTTAAACACCCTGGTGATTTACAAATCTAATGATTCCTAATGCGTTGAACAGTGGTAATTTTAATACCTTGAATCACGAATCTCAGTGGCAACCAGTGTCGTAGGCAAAAATTTTCCTAAGCGGTGTCACCATTAAAGGGATAACAATATCTCAAGAAGAAAATCAAATACTAACATGACGTGGAGATTCGAGATGCCGAGTAACAATGATTGATGAACAAGAATGGAAAGAAAATTGAACAAACTCACAAGTCAGAAATACACAAATACAAGAATTTAATGAGTCAACACTATTTTTATTAACTATAATTCTAATTGATAAAGGAGATTTTGAGTTTTATATTAATTCTAAAAATAAAAAAAAATTGTTAGATTTTGATGAATTAAAATGGGTGTGTACTGTGTAGGTTTTTAATAAAAGGGACCTCTTGTTTTGAATTTAAATTAAAAATTTAATAATTTTAAGAAAAGGAAAAAATTAAAACGTGAATAAAACAGAGAAAAAAAAACATCACCATGTCTGTCATCTGAGCTAGGCACATTCTGATACAACAGGTGTCCTTTCAATTGTTTTACCCTTTAGTTTTGATTTTTTTTATATAGATATATTCGGTAAAAAACTTTGACGAAATCGTGTCACGTGACACACCTTAGATATGCCTAAATCCGCCCCTGGTGGCAACGACACAAAAGAGATCAAAGGGCATTTTTGGCTCAAAGAAAATATTGCTTGAAAAAATGAACTTGAGTACTGTGAAAATTAGAAATCTCAGAAAGCAAAGGTAACTGGGCCCAAAAAACTTCAATCCTTCCTGCAAGCAAAACGGGAAGTTGCTTCCACGAATTGCTAACTTTTAAGGCTTCCTTTACATGTCCAAAAAATGAAAGTGTCATGAGATGACAAGTAACCTATTATCGAATCCAATATTCATGTCTTAAATGCAGTCTTTAAAAATGAAGGTCCATAATTACAATCAGAGAATGAAGCAGAGCGACCTTCTTTCGAGTTGATGTTGATAAAACTCTTCAGAAACTTTCAAGCTGGCCTTAAGAGCGACATTCTCCTTTTTCAGCTGTAAAATGATAGACACAACAGCACAATCAAAATGAAGCTCCATACCATTATGAAAACTCATCTAGTAAAGAAATTGTGATCACGTGAAAAAGCTTTTGGATGGTTTTTGACTCTGTATTCGGTCCATAATCTATAAGAAGAATTCCAATCATATTTCTTACCTACATTTGTTCTTTGTTCTACTATACATTAGTTCTATCCAATTGATAATGTTAGCTAAGACCGTATGTGGATCGTAAACTATAACATCAATCTTTTGCTGGAATTTTCAAAAAGCATGAAAGGTTAAAAATGTTAAGGATATTATATAGTCTATACAAGGTAATCATATATATGTTTCTAATTTTCTCAATTTCACTTTCTTGAGGTATAGCTGGAGAGCTTTCATTCTTTTCAAAAATCCAGCAGAAGAATCCTCTCCCACGAAGTGTTGGAACTCAAAAAATATAAAGCAGAATTCCTTCCTAACCTACTTCATGAAGCCCTTGCTGAGTACATAATCTTCCTGGAAAAATCCTTCCTAGGTATTCCAGCAAACACACTTTAGTATTCATATCAAGCCCGACGGTCGACACAAGAGCTTTTCAACTATTCACTGATTTATTAAACAAAAAGAACAAATGAAAGGAAAGCAGTGAAATCAAATTGAATAGAACCCTATTTATACCAGTGAACTCAGATGTATGTATCTCTTACCTTCTCTACACCAGTACTCAGCTCTTCCACGGCTTTATGCAATGATGAGATTGTCCTTGATGTAACATCTTCATATGTGGCTTCTATCTCGTCAATTGAATTGGGATCAAAGAAAATTCCCTCCAGTACAAATAATTTCTCAAGCAATTGAACATCATCGGCAGTCATTCTCTCTCTCAGCTATGTAAATCAGATTATTAGCTTATAGTACAGTAACGAAGGATAGATTAAATTACATGAACCAAGCAAATCAGACCTTGGCCAATATTCTCTCCCTGGACTCGTCTACATAAGTATAGACTGTGGCATCCTTGGTATTGTCTAGATCTTCCTTGCAACTAACATGTACAGATGCCTTTACATGCTTCGCTCTGCTTGAAAGGACAGAAACTAGAACTTAAAATCCTTACTTTACATGTATAGACCGGCACCAAATATTGATTGACATGGTAAGCTTTTCAAAAACCAAGGCTTTAACTTACAAGTAAAACTAGGTTATACCCAATGGAATGAAAATTGAAGGGAGACCAAAACATGAGAAGAAACTATAATGCTAACAAAGGAAATAAAAGAATACTAAAATGAAATCCATAAATTCCAAAGATGTATAGAACTAATAGGGGTCTTACAAAATTTCTCTTTTTTCCTTTGTGCATTATGTTCCTCGTTGTTCCCTTCTTGACTCTATGACAAGAAGTTCAAATAAAACTAAGTTTACATACCTAGCACCAAATCGCAGGGTGGAGAGGCTCTCTGAAGAATTGGAAGGGCTTGGAGAGCAACAGCAAAGTAATGCAGTCTGAGAGCATCCACCCTGCAAATCATAGTGTAGATGGTCATCACTCATCAACGTAGGCTGGAAGTATGGAGAAAATGGAGTTCAGGAAGTGGAACTAACAAGAGCATCTTGTAGGATTCGAGTGAGCTTAGAATCACGATAAGGAATATGAGTTGGTTTTCCTGGAGTGCTGCTAGTCATAGCATTTATCACTTTCCCAAGTGCTGTGAGGGACTGATTGATGGTCTTTGCTTCTTCAAGAATTTTACCTTCAGCTCCAGTCTTCTCAACTTTTTCTGACCCCGCCAAGTCTACGAGTATCAGCTTTCCAAATTTGGTCCTGCTTTGAAATTCAAATATTTAGGATATGTCTTTCAAGTTTCAAACCTATTGAGAGATAATACCTTTTATCCTTTGTAAGATCTTGGTGGACAGTAAATATGTAGAGGCAATGGCTTCTGCTGCTCGACATATTCATTTCTGGACTTGTTAAAATATTTTAACAAAAAATATATATGAAAAAGGAAGAAATTTTGTTAACAAGATGCACAGAATGAAGCTATGGATACGTGTTTCTCCGACTGCTCTATTAGCTATCCCACTCTGCAACATGAACAGCCATATCAGAACCAAAATGTATAAAATGCTTCATATGGAAACACATCATCTCATTTTCCCTTACAGACAAGCTTTGCAATGCTTCTGCAGAGTTGGATATAGCTACCTGGAAAACAATTTAAGATTCTGCAGGATTTAGAAATTTCCAAGGAAAACTAAAATAAAAACAAAATAGATATAGCATTTTAGTTATAAATCAAGGACGAGTAGATTTTTTTGCATAAATTTTGTTGTTTCTGAAAGTCAAAAGGTTTAGCACTTATTCAGGCTTCCAACATATCAAGCCAGCCAACTGTTTTGGTTGGTAGTTTGTGAGTACTTAAATTTATGCAGGAAGCCAGAGGACTATTGAGGATAATCCAGCATAAATCCAAATAGACAATACCAGGTTATGTTGAGCTTATTGCATGCTTGAAAACTAAAACAGTATAACAATTTGAGGGGGAAAGTGAAAGAAAGGTGCTGATGAGTCTTACTTCTGTTGCTCCATTTAGAACAATTCCATGAACTTTACTCTCTTTTATTTGTATATTGTCCTTCGATGAATCAAAGAGATCTCTGAGAGAAATTGATATAACTTAAAAGGCATGCTTATGGATAAAGCCAAATTGAGTTAAAGCAATAGATATGGATCAATAAAATCTCCTCAGGTACAAGTACTGGTAAGTGACACAAACCTTACTTTCTCCATGTAGATCTCTACCTGTAAGAGTAAGACATTTCCTTAAAAGAGCTTAAAGAAACGTAGCATTTGCCATACAAAAGGTTGAAATCAATAACAATAACATCCTAATCAACAAATTGTCACCATTGATAATTTGATTGTGTATTTGCTAGGTTTCTCTGAATTCGTTATGGCCTCAAAAAGCCCATCCACCACTCTCTGCAATAGGCCTTTCGTCTTGCTTTCACAATCTACAATGCTTGGTCCCTAAAGCCAGCAGAGTTGACAATGAACTAATACTTCCATAAAATGCAGATTTATGGATGTTGTAAAATCATTTTACCTCCATGCTATATGTCTTTCCTGCTCCTGTCTGAGAAAACATCAAAATAATAAAGAATAGTCAACGAAAATTACGAAAAGGAAAAGAAGAACTTTCTCCTCCTGTAATCATTAACAATTCTGCACTAGGAATTGAGTAATGTCTTTGTTCTCATATTTCTGCAGTTGATCCTTCACTAATCGGACCCAGTATTTGTACTGAAAATCTCCAATTCACATATTAAAATTGCAGGCATGCTTACATAAAAGGCTGTAATCAAGCATTTACCTGTCCATAAGTGATAATTGTACCGTTTATTGCATCTAGGGCACCTATTTTCACCATCATCAGGACAAAAGTGAGAAGATCAACTGAATTTAAAACTCTTTCACTTTTTATAATAACTCTCACGAAATTCGATTGTACCTTGGACTATAGGCAGAGCTAGAAATTCATATATATCAGCTTGTTCAGATCCTTGATAGAAAACTCTGTCGAAGGTAAAATCAAATTCCTGTTCCTTTTCATCCTGTAATGATGTTACAAAATCAACTAAGTAGTAAAACCTCATTCTGAATAGCTAATGCGAAGATTAAGTAGTGCACTTCCAAGTTTTCGCAATACATACACAGACTTCACATTTGATTTGAAATTAACAGCAAAATCAATACAGGAAACAGAGATTTGAGCTTTAAAACCTTGACTATGAAGGACTCAGAGTTAATTCCTTGAACAGAGACAGCATCTCCGAACTCAGATAGTTCCTTCGGATTCAGAGGTCTGAATAGCACGCAAACTTTCATAGTAGACATTTTAAAGCTGATCAACGATCAATCTATTAAAAAAAAGGATCTATGTATACACTATTTGATCAACGAGCTATGAAGATTTTCCCGCCAAAAGAGCTTCGAGAACAGAAGGGAAATGGCCGAAAAACACCTTTTGGTGTTTATTTATAGTAGTAAAGTAAAGTAAAAGATTTTGGAACTTGTGGTTAAGTATTTCTTTCTTTACATAAGTAACAATTTTGTCAATTTCAATTTAAGACTAACCCAAATTACTCCATTCATTTCATCTCAAATATAATTGATTTGATTATAGTCTTTTGAATATTTTCTTTGTCTTAATTTATGTAACACCATTTTATTTTTAGTATATTTCAAAAAGAAAATCATATTTTCATAATTAAAAGCAATTTAATTTAAAAATTTCCCTTTTAGCTTTAATGAAATGATTTATATAGTCATATAAATATCTAATGTACTCTACGTGAAGACGAGAGTATAAGTGTTGATTTGTTTACAAAAGTGTTGCATGAAACTCGAGTTGATTACCTCTATAACAAGTTGGGCATGATCAATATACATGTTTCAACTTGAAGGGGGTGTTACAGAATGTATATAAACTTGTTTCCTAATATGCACAAAGTTATAGATACCATAAATACAGAAATTTTTTTATAGTTCTAAATAAAATGATAAAAATGAATAGAAAAATATATTCAGGCTAAGGAGTAAATATCTCGCTCTCTTTAAGGAGATTCAAGTCCACTGCGGCACAATCTACGTGGATCCAACATTATATCTCTTGATTAGTTGAAGAGTCCAAAGATCTACCAAAAGAACACATTCTTTCAATATATAATTACTTTATTTTGTATAGTAAATTAGTTGAAGATTTGGAATATTTTTCTTTGTCTCAACCTTCTTTTTACTACACTAACCTCAATATAAAATACTTCTCATCTTCTTTTACATTATTTCTCTAATCTATAAAATAAAGTAAGATCATCACTATATATAGGTGAGAAATTCTTCATTGCAATGAATAGAAAGATTATGAATATTATATAGGATAAGTGAATGAGCTAGAACTTACATGAATTACAAAATTCAAGAATAATTATGTAGAATAATGAATTAGTGGTTATAGGAATGAATTTTTTTATCCTGCACGAGGTGCAACTATTGTCAGTTGTATGAGGGGTTGTTTGGCTTCCAAGTGTATACTATGGGACCACATTTAACTTTCTTTCATTTTCTTTTCTCATCTATTTTTAGCCCCTTTTTTTATATATTTTTTCTTTCTTCAAAACACTTTCTTGCATTTTTTCCTACTAGTACTTGTTAACTCTTACACATAATTTTATTTTTGTATGATATTTTTTTGACTTTTTATTTAGTATTCGATATATGAATTAAAACATGACTATTTAAGATTTGCATTGTGTAGAGTTTTGTTCGAAGTGATATATTGCTTATCAAGATTTTTTCATACTCAAAGCTTGAACTCGAGACCTCTAGTTAAGCGAGAAACAATAATATCTTCTGCCCCATCAATTATTTGAGGAAAAATCAAAGTGAATGTCTCGAAAAATTTAAATTTAATTTTTTGGATAAGTTTTAAGGAATTGAAGAAAGTGAAACTACAAAAATATTAGTATTTTGAAATCTCGTGTCTTAATTTCATAAAATGTTTTTTTAAATTTTTTTTTTATAAATAATATATAGAAAATATGAGAACTTAGATAAAAAAAAAATCATTTTTGTGTTCGCTTATAGAAGATCATACATTGATTTATTATAATTGAAATTTTCACTCTATTATTTACGGAGTATTAAATTGTCCGTAAACAATACACCACTTTGATTCACATGAACTATATAAATACATATTTTTTTAAAAAAAAATTATGTTAGATATTAATCTTCTGAACTCTTGATTCATATTCATGTGTTTGTCTTTATAATAATCAGATTTTTTGTATTTATTTTCTAATTTGATTTATATTTTTATTTTGATAATGTCAGAAGTGCATTTTATGCTATTTTTTCTTGTATTTGTTAATTAATTATTATTGTTATATTATCATATTTTCTATTAAAAATGACAAAATCGAACAGCCCAAAAACATAACAAAATTTACGTTAGCAAATTTTAAATAGCATAAGAAGAAAATTTGGACCATGGAGGAGAGAGATTAGAGGGGGGAAAAGGGACTTTAGGCCATTTTGCTTGCAAGTGGGACCCAAATTCCACTTGGAAAAGCACAAAAGCACCTCACACAAGTAGTGTCCGCCACCTAATATCTATGCCTCTCATAGAATAAAATTTTTCGTACAAACTAAGGAGTAAGGATGTTGTTGGTTTTACACAGCTTATGATTTATGTATTTTTGTCAGATATTTTGTTTGACTTAATAAATATATTTGTGACACGTTTCAACAAAAAAAAAAACTAATGATGGGAATATAACTTTCTTACTACTATATACTAAGATAATTTCACATGTAAATATAGACAATATAGTCAAACAAAATTGAGCAACATCCTGCGGAAAACCGTGTAGGTCCACACTCCACTGACCACTGTCTATCAATTTCAAAAATAAATTGACTAGGATAGACACAGAACCACAGTGTCAGCGTATTTAATCATCATGTTTTACTCATGTTTGGTTGGCGCTAGTATTTAAAATAGGCAAAAAATTGATCTGTTAGCCAAAAAAATTTATTCAAACGAATCCTGTTGTACTCATTTGGGCGAGGATTTTGCTATTTTATACGTTTCAGATCTGCAGAAACTTGGAGTTTCTTTTTCTGTTGACAGTCCAAATGAGAAGTGAAATGTTTTCCCAGCTTTTCTTGATCCTACTACTCTCCATCTGCTGTAAAATGAGTGATATAGTGGCAGCTAATTCCAGTAAATGTCTTGAGGATCAGAAGAAGTTACTGCTGCAGCTGAGAAATAACCTTACTTATGACTCTGAAATATCTACCAAGCTAGTGAAGTGGAACCAGCGGATTGACTGCTGTCAATGGGAGGGTGTCACTTGCAACGGTGAAGGCCAAGTTATTGGTCTTGACCTTAGCGCTGATTCATTCTCGGGCAGTATCACTCCGTTAGCTGATCTTAAGTTTCTCTCTATTGTCCGTCTTGATGGGAACAATTTATCTGCACCAATTCCAGAGTTCTTTGCGGAATTCACCAATTTAACTGTCTTGAGTCTGAGTTCCTGCAACTTGACAGGAGAGGCACCTCAGAAAATATTCCAGCTACCAACTCTGCAAACAATTGACTTATCAGTAAATGAGATGCTTGGGGGTTCTTTACCTGAATTTCCTTCAAAAGGATCTCTACAAAACCTGGTTCTTAGTGATACGAAATTTTCAGGAAGTTTACCTGAGTCCATAGGGAACCTTAGGAAGTTGTCGCGTGTTGAACTTAGAGCTTGTAATTTTACAGGTCCAATTCCATCTTCTATGGAAAATCTAACCCAGCTTGTTCTTCTGGATTTCAATTTGAATAGCTTCACGGGTTCATTTCCATCTTTTAAGCTGTCCAAAAATCTCACTGATGTATACTCTGCTAGAAATCGTTTGACAGGAATATCATCAGACTGGGAAGGCTTTGAGAATCTTGAGTATCTTGACTTGAGTAGCAATTCAATTTCTGGGCTCATTCCAGAATCATTGTTTTACCTACCCTCACTTTCAGGTTTATATCTGTCCAACAACAAGTTTTCTGGCCAAATAACTGAATTACAAAATGTGATTTCTCCACTTAAAAGTCTTGAGTTGAGTTCCAACAACTTGGAAGGGCCAATACCTGAGTTTTTATTTGAGCTGCATGATCTTTATGGTCTTTCACTTTCATTCAACAAGTTTAACGGTACTGTGCAGTTGAAGAAGTTCACAAACATCAATAAACTTGTAGATCTTGATCTGTCCCACAACAGTTTATCAGTTGACACCAATATAAGTGAATCGGACCTTGCCTTGCTACCCCAGCTAAATAGTTTCATGTTAGCGTCATGCAATCTGCAGAATATTTCCTTCCTCAAGAACCAATCAAAGTTGTCGATGTTAGATCTCTCAAACAACCAGCTTACTGGTGAAATACCAAACTGGTTGGTGGAAATCAATGATGGACTTCTCCGTTTTCTGAATCTTTCTTTCAATCAATTTACGCGTCTTCAAGAACCATATACAATTGGCTTTCTCATGAATTTCCTTGATCTGCATTCAAATCTGCTCACTGGGGTTATTCCATTACCACCACGTGCAGCTGCTTATATTGACTTCTCAGACAATAACTTTTCTACTTTTCCACCTGACTTTGGCAATTATCTAGTAACTGCTCGGTTCCTCTCAATTGCAAACAACAAAGTTATCGGTAGTATCCCTTCTTCGATATGCAACTCCAGCTATCTTGAAGTACTTGAGTTGTCAAACAACAGTTTGAATGGCATAATACCACCATGTTTAGCAGAAAAGAGCAGCACACTGAAAGTATTGAACCTGGGAAACAACAATCTCATAGGAAATATACCTGAAAAGTTTTCTTATAATTGTGAGTTACAGAGCCTTGACCTCAGTCAGAATCACTTAACAGGTGTGCTTCCTCGTTCTTTGTCCAACTGCACAAAGTTAAAGGTATTAAATATTGGAAACAACAAGATCAAGGATACTTTCCCCTGCTGGTTGAGGAACATGTCAGATCTTCGTGTACTTGTATTACGCTTCAATGGTTTCCATGGGAACATTAATTGCTCAGGTGTGAATTCCAACTGGACCGCACTTCAAATCATGGACCTAGCTTCCAACAATTTAGGGGGTGTTCTTCCCAGAGGTTCATTCTTGGAGCTAAAAGCAATGATGGCTGACCCATCTTTAACACATTTACGCTCTGATATCTTGCATTTTGAGTCTTCTATTAGGCCAATATATTATCAGGACAGAGTCACTCTTTCTCTTAAAGGACAAGATGTTACACAAACAAAGATCTTTCTCTTCTTCACCTCCATTGACTTTTCAAGCAACAATTTTGTGGGGAACATACCAGAGATAGTTGGAGATCTCAGATCACTTTATCTTCTCAATATTTCACACAACAATCTCACGGGTCAAATACCTCCAGCAATTGGAAATTTGAAGCAATTAGAATCGCTGGACCTCTCATTCAACAAGTTAGGTGGCAATATCCCAGAAAAGCTTGCTAGCCTCACATTTCTTTCCTTCTTAAATTTATCATCTAATGAATTGGTCGGAATGATTCCACGAGGCAACCAAATTCAAACATTTGGAGAAAGTTCTTTTGAAGGAAACAAGGGGATATGTGGGTTTCCGCTGAACAGAACTTGCAAGAATAATTCAGCAGATGCACCTTCTGAGCCAGAAGTTGAAGAGGAAGAATTCATTTCAATGACGGAGATTTATGTAAGTGCTATGTTGGGATTTGTTGTTGGTATTGGGATCATCTTCCTACCACTTCTGTTCTCAAAAAGATGGAACCAGTCGTACAACAGAATAATTAACAGATTAGTTTTAAGGATATTTCAGCAGCAAGATCAAGAAAGGAAAACTAGTAGCAGTAGTGTAGCATCTTGGAAAAAGGCAGCAGGGAAATCAAGAGGCAGCCATTAATTTCACAGGATGTAACACTTCCTTGCAGCATGCTGCTCACTATTAGTACTTCTAATTGTTTCCACTATGAGTTATCGGTGTTAGTTTACCTTTCATAATTCATTTTAGTTGCTTCTTATTATATAGAAGAACACAAAGCAATCTTGCATTCTGTTTTAGGTAACGGTCAGTGAATAGCCATAACAAACCTGATAACAACCTCTCTCATTTTTTAAGAAACAAAAGCCAACTAGGCCATTTTCTAAGTACAATATAGTTTATACGAGTTCTCCCTTATCTTCGAAGTCAGAGTATCTCTGCGCAGACAATAAGACTTCTTCAAGTTCCTCACTGAAGTCTTTATCGCCATCCTGCTCTTCAGCCACTTCTTGTTGGGAGAACTTATCCTGCCCTTCTCGGACAACGTCAACTGAGATTTGACAGGCCGATGACAAATACCAGTTTTCTTTTAAAATAATTCCTTCTGAGCTGTCTTCTTGACCATGTCTCCTATCAATGTCTGGTTCTGTGTTATGTGCTTTATGTTTTCTACATCCACCATGTCACTAGCCCCTTTGATAGCTAGATCTTTGGCCTGTGCATATTCTGCCGACTTTTGCTTGAGCAAATCCACCTCAAGCTCCAACCTCATATCCATGTGGGTGAAGTGCTCAATCCGGCTATTTGGATACTTGCATTTTGTATTTCTTCCAGTTCATCATCTCCCGCTACCGAGCTTTCATTTACATCCACAAAGCCAAAAAGAAACATGTTCCTATCTAGCATATGTTTGACTAGAGCTGGGACTAGTTTAACATCTTTGGCCTTTGCCTCAGCGACAAGATTTCTAAGATTCTTCAACTCTCGCTGAGATAGATAAATCTTGAAAGGAGGTCTGAATGGTTGTCTCATAAAAGCAATATAATCCACCTAGTCTCCTTAAAAGAGAGTGAGTAGAGACCATGTAACCACTGCAGTATGCATAAAAAGATTGTATAAAGCATGCCTGATCTTTAGATGGACTAACCTCGAAAATATAGGAGAACTTTGCAGAAATCCACACTCTCTTCTGTAAAAGTAGGAGATCCACCCTTGGCAAACTCATTTATAAGCTCCTCAATGTCTGATTTGAATGGCTCATGGTCCTTGTTGACTTCTCTTTATGGCCTTGACATCAAATTTTCAAAGGCATTTGATAGTTTGTTGAACCTTTCCTGCTTAACCCTAATTCTCTCCTTGCAAATCCTTTATGTCCATTTGTCCACGTTAAATGGCTCCTGCACAATTTTTGCCTGAAAGTGTATGATTTGGACAAAAGTTGATCTACTATACAGTAGATAATGAATGTATTAATGCATATTCATGTAACATTCTCAAAAGTATATTCGAACAGAGTTCACATTTGATTTGAAATTAACAGAAAAATCAATACACGAAATAGAGTTTTGAGCTTTAAAACCTTGATTATGAAGGATTCAGAGTTAATTCCATGAACAAAGACAGCATCCAAATTCAGAGGTCTGAATGTTAAATTAGGTCTTAGACCTAACTCACAATCAAAAGTTAGCTCTAAGGGAGGAATATTGCCCAGGCCTTATAAGGAGTCCACCATTGCATTAATCACCAATGTGGAGCTTTTTGCTTTAACACTAAATAGCACACAAACTTTCATGGTTGACATATTTAAGCTGATCAACGATCAAGCTGAAAAAAAAAACAGCTATGTATACACGTATTTGATCAACGAGCTATGGAGATTTTCCCGCCAAAAAAGCTTCGAGAAAGAGGGAAAATGCCCGAGAAACGCCTTTGGTGTGTTTATAAAAGATTTGAAACCTACTATTAATAAGTACTACTAATAAATTTGTCAATTTTAATTTAAGATTAATCCAGATCACTCCATTCATCTCAAAAATAATTGAATTGTTTCACCTCATTTGATATTCAAGTTTCAATTATATTTCAGTTGTCTCAATTTATATAACACCAGGTAAATATTATTACTCCTGCTATCCCATATTTTTTGTTTAGTGTGACATATTTTATTTCTTAGTTTTATCAAAAAATAATAATTAGAAAACTAAGAAAACATTGTCAATCTCAATTTCTGAATCAAAGGAGGGAAATACCGTATTTTTTTGGCAACCAATGTGAATGAAAATGCCGTATTTATAAAGTTAGATATGAGATGTTAATTTCACATAGTACAAAGTACAAACTAAGGAGTAAGGATACTTAATGTATAAGAATTGAATAATTTTGATCCTTCATATATACTGTCATATTGAAATAGTCTTTCATGTATGTTAAAAGAGATTATTTTAATCTTTAATCCTAAAACTAACCATAAAAGTTAAAAATTCTGTTAAATTGTGGGTCCAGTGACAAGTAGCCCTTCTCCCTCAATCTTCTTTCTTTCACCATTAAAGCTCATTCTGTATCCACAATCCACCACCTGCAATATCCTTGCAAGAAAAATAACATTACACCCATTTCTTATCTCCCACTAAACAAATTTTCCAGCAACTCACATTTCCATACATCAACATAAAAAAAAACGTGACCATTTATACAAATGTGAACTAAGTAAAGTATATAAAATACTTTATTCTTCAGATTGTCATAAGTCAACTATTTTAAGCTTTAACCAACTATTCTCTCATGTGGAAGCTCTATACGGGAAGAATATTTGTATTCTCCCTTTTTTTAAACTAGTCCTTAGGAATGTGCGTTGCACGTTTATCCCATATTATTGAATTATTATATAGAAAATATTGAAATTAACAATATTAACGTTATCATTTACATCATATTCATTAAATAAAATTCATAATAGTGGAATGTTTTTTTTTAAAATCATAACAGTGGAATGTTGCATTTAGCATCAAGCAAGAAATGTGAAGCTAATTAAGATAATATAACATGTAATGGTATGAATATGTCGATATAACTTATCCTCAATAATCTCTCATTACGCACTTTACACGTAGATCCCATATCCAATTTGAAAACATAAAAAAAAATAAAAAATTAAGAATAAATATAAAAACCACTTACAAAGGAACCAATTTACATGAAATAAAACCAAAATTTAAATTTTTGAAACATTTCCAAACACCTTCGAGAGATATGTATCCTTCATCTACATCAATTATAATAAAAAATAAAATATAAAAATTATTAGTGTATAAAAGAGTATATATTTTTATTTCATTCTAAATCATACATAGTGATAAAATCTATTGTCTTCCAAATATTCATTCTCTATCTATCAATATTATCACATATGATAACGTCTTCGATCCAAATGCAACACTAATGCTACTATCCCTAACAGTTCTAAAAAGACAATGATATTCTTTTTCTTCTGTACCTAGAAGATCTAGTGTAAAGAAATCAAAAAAGTAATATTGGAGCAAAATGAGGTAAACAACATAATAGTTAGATATGGTCATAATTATTATATAGAATAATTTTCTTCCAAAGATGATAGCTAGGTCAGATCTGAAACATGAAAAATTAAGCTCTAACAAAATAAGGTGAAAAATTAAATGGAAGAAAGAAAAACAAGGACTATATATATATATATATATATATATATATGAAATGACAAAGAAAGGAAGAAGAGAGTTCAATTCACTTACCCAAAGTATGTAAATCAGTGAAAGCACCGATTTGAATTCCTCCGACAATTACCAAAAAACTAAATATTAAAAGAGAATTTTCTCAAAATATGAAAATATATTAGATAATGTTAAAAACTAACTTTGTGAATAGATGGATTTCAACCTCCGTGAAAATTTCCAATATCCATTTCCATCATTGCATGCTCCGTATGAACTTTTAGAACTTATACACATTTTTGTTCTGTAAAAAGCAAAAAAATATAATGAAAGTAATAAGTAATCAACTAATGTGTTTAGAGAAAAATGAAAATTTTATTTAATAATCATGCATTTTTGCAAAAATAATGATCATCGGCTGGCCACCTCTTTGCTACACAAATATTATATATAGCTCTCCAAATTTATTACCCTCGCAACTCTTCATTCTCTTTATTTTATATTATAGCTCTCAAAATTTATTACCCTTGCAACTCTTCATTCTCTTTATATTTTATTATCATAATTATATAGCAATAAAGTGAACATTTCTCTCATAATTAATTACCTTGTAACTCTTCATTCCCCTTCTTTATTATAATTATTATAACAATAGGTGAATATTTATAAGTAGAGAGAGAATAATTAAGATTAGGAAGGAAATGAGAAGCCAACAAATGGAGAAAACAAACAAGTAGGTATATGATGATTAGCATTAGTATAATAATATAATAATATAATAATATGATATATGATTATTATTTAATTAATTAATTTTTATTACTTTTTAAATTTAATATAGGGGTATCTTCGTAATTCAACTCTTGAGGTTAATCTCTTCCCACTTATAATAATATATGATTAATAATTTTTCAATGTATTTACTTGTTTTGTTCTACTGTTCAAATAATTTGAATGAACGAGGGTAGAAAATAGAATATTAAAAATATCTTTTTGAAATTTGAAAAAAAAATTGTGAGTAAAAGTGGATTTTAGAAGAATTGATGAAGAAAGAAGATCGAGTCTGAGCAAAAAAAAAGAAGAAAGAAGATTGAGGGAGAAATGATACTTTCACATGTTAATTTCAAGGGACCACTAAAAATTTAACATAATTTTTAACTTTTATGATTAGTTTTAAAGTTAGGATCAAAATGATCATCTTTTTATATACATTAAACACTATTTCAATAAGATAGTATATATGAAAAATCAATATTATTCAACCCTTATACATTAAGGATTATTTTGGTCATTTTCTCGTTCAAATAACAATGCTTGGGTTTTACACAACTTATGATTTATTTATTTTTGTCAGATGTTTTGTTTGTTACTTAATAAATATATTTGTGACACGTTTCAACCAAAAAACCGTGTAGGTCCACACTCCAGTTTCCACTGTCTATCAATTTCAAAAATAAATTGATATTATAAGTAGACACAGGGTGTCAGCGTATTTAAAATAATACATAAATTAATCATCTTGCTTTACTCATGTTTGGTTGGCGCTAGTATTTAAAATAGGCAAAAAATTGATCTGTTAGCCAAAATTTTTTATTCAAACGAATCCTGTTGTATTCATTTGGGCGAGGATTTTGCTATTTTATACGTTTCAGATCTGCAGAAACTTGGAGTTTCTTTTTCTGTTGACAGTCCAAATGAGAAGTGAAATGTTTTCCCAGCTTTTCTTGATCCTATTACTCTCCATCTGCTGTAAAATGAGTGATGTAGTGGCAACTAATTCCAGTAAATGTCTTGAGGATCAGAAGATGTTACTGCTGCAGCTGAGAAATAACCTTACTTATGATTCTGAAATATCTACCAAGCTAGTGAAGTGGAACCAGCGGATTGACTGCTGTCAATGGGAGGGTGTCACTTGCAACGGTGAAGGCCAAGTTATTGGTCTTGACCTTAGCGCTGAATCATTCTCGGGCAGTATCGCTCCGTTAGCTGATCTTAAGTTTCTCTCTATTGTCCGTCTTGATGGGAACAATTTATCTGCACCAATTCCAGAGTTCTTTGCCGAATTCACCAATTTAACTGTCTTGAGTCTGAGTTCCTCCAACTTGATAGGAGAGGCACCTCAGAAAATATTCCAGGTACAAACTCTGCAAACAATTGACTTATCAGTAAATGAGATGCTTGGGGGTTCTTTACCTGAATTTCCTTCAAAAGGATCTCTACAAAACCTGGTTCTTAGTGATACGAAATTTTCAGGAAGTTTACCTGAGTCCATAGGGAACCTTAGGAAGTTGTCGCATGTTGAACTTAGAGCTTGTAATTTTACAGGTCCAATTCCATCTTCTATGGAAAATCTAACCCAGCTTGTTCTTCTGGATTTCAATTTGAATAGCTTCACGGGTTCATTTCCATCTTTTAAGCTGTCCAAAAATCTCACTGATATATACTCTGCTAGAAATCGTTTGACAGGAATATCATCAGACTGGGAAGGCTTTGAGAATCTGAAGTATCTTGACTTGAGTAACAATTCAATTTCTGGGCTCATTCCAGAATCATTGTTTTACCTACCCTCACTTTCAGGTTTATATCTGTCCAACAACAAGTTTTCTGGCCAAATAACTGAATTACAAAATGTTATTTCTCCACTAGAAAGTCTTGAGTTGAGTTCCAACAAATTGGAAGGGCCAATACCTGAGTTTTTATTTGAGCTGCATGATCTTTACGGTCTTTCACTTTCATTCAACAAGTTTAATGGTACTGTGCAGTTGAAGAAGTTCACCAACCTCAATAAACTTGTAAGTCTTGATCTGTCCCACAACAGTTTATCAGTTGACACAAATATAAGTGAATCAGACCTTGCCCTGTTACCCCAGCTGAATAGTTTCATGTTAGCGTCATGCAAACTGCAGAATATTTCCTTCCTCAAAAACCAATCAAAGTTGTCGATGTTAGATCTCTCAAACAGCCAACTTACTGGTGAAATACCAAACTGGCTGGTGGAAATCAATGATGGACTTCTCCGTTTTCTGAATCTTTCTTTCAATCAATTCACACATCTTCAAGAACCTTATACATTTGGCTTCCTGAATTTCCTTGATCTGCATTCAAATCTGCTCACTGGGGTTATTCCATTACCACCACGTGCAGCTGCTTATATTGACTTCTCAGACAATAACTTTTCTACTTTTCCACCTGACTTTGGCAATTATCTAGTAACTGCTTGGTTCCTCTCAATTGCAAACAACAAAGTTATCGGTAGTATCCCTTCTTCGATATGCAACTCCAGCTATCTTGAAGTACTTGAGTTGTCAAACAACAGTTTGAATGGCATAATACCACCATGTTTAGCAGAAAAGAGCAGCACACTGAAAGTACTGAACCTGGGAAAGAACAATCTCATAGGAAATATACCTGAAAAGTTTTCTTATAATTGTGAGTTACAGAGCCTTGACCTCAGTCAGAATCACTTAACAGGTGTGCTTCCTCGTTCTTTGTCCAACTGCACAAAGTTAAAGGTATTAAATATTGGAAACAACAAGATCAAGGATACTTTCCCCTGCTGGTTGAAGAACATGTCAGATCTTCGTGTACTTGTATTACGCTTCAATGGTTTCCATGGGAACATTGATTGCTCACGAGTGAGTTCCAACTGGACCGCTCTTCAAATCATGGACCTAGCTTCCAACAATTTAGGGGGTGTTCTTCCACGAGGTTCATTCTTGGAGCTAAAAGGAATGATGGCTGACCCATCTTTAACACATTTACGCTCTGATATCTTGCATTTTGAGTCTCAATCTGTTAGGTCAGTATACTATCAGGACAGAGTCACTCTTCCTCTTAAAGGACTAGATGTTACACAAACAAAGATCTTTCTCTTCTTCACCTCCATTGACTTTTCAAGCAACAATTTTGTGGGGAACATACCAGAGATAGTTGGAGATCTCAGATCACTTTATCTTCTCAATATTTCACACAACAATCTCACGGGTCAAATCCCTCCAGCAATTGGAAATTTGAAGCAATTGGAATCACTGGACCTCTCATTCAACAAATTAGGTGGCAATATCCCAGAAAAGCTTGCTAGCCTTACATTTCTTTCCCACATAAATTTATCATATAATGAATTGGTTGGAATGATTCCACGAGGCAACCAAATTCAAACATTTGGAGAAAGTTCTTTTGAAGGAAACAAGGGGCTATGTGGGTTACCGCTGAACAGAACTTGCAAGAATAATTCAGCAGATGCACCTTCAGAGCCAGAAGTTGAAGAGGACGAATTCATTTCAAGGACGGAGATTTATGTAAGTGCTATGTTGGGATTTGTTGTTGGTGTTGGGGTCATCTTTCTACCACTTCTGTTCTCAAAAAGATGGAACCAGTCGTACAACAGAACAATTGACAGATTAATTTTAAGGATATTTCAGCAGCAAAATCAAGAAAGGAGAACTAGTAGCAGTAGTGTAGCATCTTGGAAAAAGGCAGCAGGGAAAGCAAGAGGCAGACATTAATTTCACAGGATGTAACACTTCCTTGCAGCATGCTGCTCACTATTAGTACTTGTTGGTCAGAATTTTAATATTAATATCTTTGTATATTAATTTGCCTGAAATGTTTGGAGTCAGAGTATTGCATTTACTGTAAGTTGTCCGTTGGTGGATAATTCTTTTGTCTTAACCGTTGGGCAGTTATTTCGAGCATTACTCCATTCGGAGTAAGTGCTGATGTTATGATCATTTCTTGCAGCATCGGTAGTGGCATCTTGGCCATTACTTCTCCATATTATTTCTCCATTATCTCATTCGTTATTCCTCCATTATTCTTTGTAACATATGTAACATATGTAACTTCTAAGACCATTATCTTCACTATTTACTACACCATTTATCTTCTGATTTATTGCTAGGAAGACTTCTTCTAGTATAAATAGTGGTGATCTTCATTTGGTTTGGGAGACACAACACACAAGGAAATATAGAGTGGAAAAGTTAGTAAAAAAAGAGAATTCTTATTAGTTGAAGGAAGGTGTTCTTTTTTGTGGAGCTTTAGACTCAACTCTTGTCCATTGTTGTTGAGTTATATATTGTGAAGGTTGTTGTATCCTGGAGGGGACAAGTCAAAGAGGACTACTGCTGGACCGGTGAAAAACAATTGTTGTAGTGGGCTTGAATCTCCTTAAAGAGAGCGAGATATTCGCGCTTCAGCCTGAAGAGATTTATTTCTTCATTTCTGATTTGCAAATTCATCAATTTTAAGGAGATTCAACATGGCTACAATTGAAAAAATGCGGATGTCAAGATGGGAGACCTTAACAAGTCATTTCGGTTCAATGGTAACCATTTCAAAACATAGAAGGTGGAAAAGTACGATGGTGAAGAGGCAAAGGGCCAAGATGCACTTTTACAAAAAGAAGAGAGCAACATCACAACGAAGGTAAATTTAATTACTTCGAATAATGCTACTCTTGAAACTCACAAAAATACTTATTTGAAGCCTAAGAAGAAACAATTTAAGAAAACTAATAATAGACCTCCCAAGAAAAATAATGGTGAAAATAACCAAGCACAAAATCAACAAGTTCAAGATAAGGGACCATGCTTTGTTTGTGGCAAGAGTGGCCATATTGCTCGATTTTGCAGATTCCGGAAACGTGGTCCTAATCCTCAGGCAAACGTTACCGAAGAACCTTTTGTGGCGGTGATTACCGACATAAACATGGTTGAGAGTGTTGATGGATGGTGGGTTGATTCTGGTGCAAATCGTCATGTCTGTTATGACAAAGATTGATTTAAAAAATATACTCATTTTGAGGAGCCCAAAACCATCATGCTTGGTGATTCACATACTACTCAAGTGCTTGGAACGGGAGATGTCGAATTGTGTTTTACTTCTGGAAGGGTATTAACTTTGAAAGATGTACTTTATACTCCTTCTATGAGGAAAAAGTTGATGTCTAGTTTTCTTCTTAATAAAGCAGGCTTTAAACAGATTATTGAATCTGATCAATATGTAATTGTGAAGAAGGGTATTTTTGTGGGAAAGGGGTATGCATGTGATGGGATGTTCAAACTGAATGTTGAAATGAATAAAGTTTCTACTTTTGTTTATATGCTTTCTTCTACTAATTTTTGGCATGCTTGTTTGTGTCATATTAATGATCGTTATGTTGGAATCATGAGTAGTTTAGGATTAATTCCAATGGTTAAAAAGAATTTTGAAAAGTGTGAGGCTTGTAGTAAAGCCAAAATCACTAAAAGACCTCATTTTCAAGTTGAAAGAAAAACTGATTTGTTAGAATTAGTTCATACTGATATTTGTGAATTTGGTGAAATTTTAACTCGTGGAGGTAATAGATATTTTATCACTTTCATTGATGATTTTTCTAAGTTTACATATGTTTACTTGATGAAAAATAAAAGTGATGATTTTGAAAACTTTAAAGTTTATCTCCATGAAATTGAAAATCAGTTTGGAAGAAAAATAAAAAGAATTAGAAGTGATAGAGGTCGTGAATATGAGTCAAATGAGTTTCATTCTTTTGTTAGATCATTGGGAATAATTCATGAAACTACTCCTCCTTATTCTCCTTCATCTAATGGAGTAGCGGAAAGGAAAAATAGAACTTTGGTTGAATTGACTAATGCCATGCTTATTGAGTCACATGCACCTTTAAATTTTTGGGGTGAAGCTATTTTGACTACTTGATATGTGTCGAATCGTGTGCCTCATAAAAAGTCAAAATTGACACCTTTTGAATTGTGGATACAAGCCAAGTTTGAGATATCTAAGAGTTTGGGGTTGTTTAGCCTTTGTGAGGCTAATGGATCCCAAGATTTCAAAATTGGGTAAGAAAGTTACTACTTGTGCTTTTCTTGGTTATGCTTCAAATAGTACAACCTATAGATTTTTTAATCTTGAAGATAATATTGTGATAGAATCGGGTGATGCTATTTTTCATGAAAATAAGTTTCCTTTTGATTCTAAAAATAGTGGGGTCAAAGGATTGAACAAAATATTTTGTCACTACTTAGCTAGTTCTTCTACTTCTACTTTGAAAAATAAAGAAGTCAATGATTTTGAGTTAAGAAGAAGTAAAAGAGCTAGAGTAGAAAAAGATTTTGGTCATGATTTTTATATGTTTAATGTTGGAGATGACCCTCTCAATTTAAAAGAAGTTTTATCATCACATGACTCCATTTTTTGGAAAGAAACTGTAAATGATGAAATAGAATCTCTAATTTCTAATAAAACTTGGAAGTTAGTTGATTTACTATCGGGTTGTAAAACTATTGGTTGCAAATGGGTCTTAAGAAAAAAATAAAAACCGGATGGATCTATTGATAAATATAAGGCTAGACTAGTTGAAAAAGGTTTTAAACAACTAGAAGGCCTAGAATTTTTCGATACTTTTTCTCCGGTAACAAGAATTACACCTATAAGACTTTTAATTGCTATGTCATCAATTTTTTATTTGTAAATTCATCAAATGGATGTAAAAACTGTTTTTTTAAATGGAGACCTAAATGAGGAAATTTATATGGATCAACCCGAGTCTTTTTTGAAGCAGGTCAAGAAAGCAAAATATGTAAGCTTACTAAATTCATATATGGCTTGAAACAGGCACCAAAGCAATGACATGAAAAGTTTGATTCCTGCATGATTGAAAATGGTTTTAAAACAAATGAGTGTGATAAGTGCATATATCATAAGTCTTGGAATAATTCACATGTGATTATTTGCTTATTTGTTGATCTTTGGCTCTAACATGAATGTTATTGATGAAGCTAAGAATATTCTTAGAAACCATTTTGATATGAAAGATCTTAGTGAGACAAATGTTATTCTTGGAATAAAAATAACAAGAACATGTGATGGAATTTTCCTTGAACAGTCACATTATGTTGAGAAAATTTTGAAAAAATATAACTTTCTTGATTGCAAACATGTTGCAACTCCTTTTGATTCAAGTGTTCATTTATTTCCTATTGAAAGTGAAAATGATATAATAAATCAAAAGGAATATGCTAGCATAATCGGAAGTTTGAGGTATGTGATTGATTGCACTAGGCCTGATATTGCATGTGCAGTAGGAGTACTTGGCAGGTTTACAAGCAAGTCAGGTAATGAACATTGGCATGCTATAACAAGAGTTATGAGATATTTAATTGGAACAAAAAATTATGGTTTGTTCTATAAAAAATATCATGATGTACTTGAAGGCTTTTGTGATGCAAATTGGAATACTTTATCATGTGATTCCTGTTCTACCACTGGTTATGTCTTTACTGTTCTACCACTGGTTATGTCTTTACTGTTCTACCACTGGTTATGTCTTTACTTTAGGTGGTGGTGCTGTTTGTTGGAGATCAATAAAGTAAACTATTATTGCTAACTCTACCATGGAGGCTGAACTAATTGTTTTAGCTTCAGCTAGTGAGGAAACGAATTGGTTAAGAGATTTGTTATTTCAAATACCTTATTTTGAAAAATCAATTCCTCATATTTTAATTCATTGTGATAGCACTGCTGCGATTGATAGAGTTCAAAACCGTTATTACAATGATAAATCCAGACCTATAAGGAGGAAACACAGTAATGTAAGATCATATTTGACAAATGGTACCATTAATGTTGATTATGTCAAATCTTCTGATAATCTTGCAAATCCTCTTACTAAGGCCTTAACAAGAGAAAAGGTCTGGAGCACATAGAGGGGGAATGGGATTGAAACCTATAAATCTTTGAGTCATATATGAGGAAACCCAACCTGGGGACTAGAGTTCCTATAACCAAGTTCAAAGGGTAAAACTAATCATATGATGACTTGTTGTGAAAAAAATAATACACTATACTTTTATTCCCTCCCTATGATGTGAGTGCATTGTTTCCTGTAGTGATTTGTGAAGGTTGAGTTGACAAAACTCTTAATGAATATCTGTAGCCCGTATGGGTGGAGTGTTAAACTTACATGAGCACTCTCGACAGATTTCACCTAGGTGATGTGTGGAAGTAGGTCGTTTCCTATGAGAATTGGACTTATTCTCAAATGCACTCATGAAATCGGGATAGCACATGACCATAACGTGCTGGCTATAAAGCTCATGTCAACACCTTGATTATTATATGTGGACAGTGATATTTTATTTCCCTCAAACAGTCATAGTTTAAGTTTGAGACCACTACGACTCTGGAGTAAAAGTTATTGTTTCACTAAGTGGAGGTTCAATGCAGAGCACATTTCATTATGCATGAATCATGATAGTCTTCCTTCAGCTGATATACTCTCTTATATAATATTAAAATGAGCGGGGGATTGTTGGTCAGCATTTTAATATTAATATTTTTGTATATTAATTTGCTTGAAATGTTTGGAGTCAAAGTATTGCATTTACTGTAAGTTGTCCGTTGGTGGATAATTCTTTTGTCTTAACCGTTGGGCAGTTATTTCGAGCATTACTCCATTCGGAGTAAGTGCTGATGTTATGATCATTTCTTGCAGCATCGGTAGTGG